GGCATTGGGATTTTTTTTTTTTTGAGACGGAGTTTTGCTCTTGTTGCCCAGGCTGGAATGCAATGGCATGATCTTGGCTCACCACAACCTCTGCCTCCCAGGTTGAAACAATTCTCCTGCCTCAGCCTCTCAAGTAGCTGGGATTACAGGCATGTGCCACCACACCTGCCTAATTTTGTGTTTTTAGTAGAGATGGGGGTTTCTCCATGTTGGTCAGGCTAGTCTCCAACTCCTGATGTTAGCCGATCACCTGCCTCAGCCTCCCAAAGTGCTGGGATTACAGGTGTGAGCCACTGTACCTGTCCAGCATTGGGACTTAGACTTTAGCAGTAACCAGCTCTGTAATATGCTGAGACTTAGGCTTAGGAGAAAGTTGTTTTACTGGGAAGCAGAGGAAAATATTTTTAGTATGTCTTGCTACTTCTCATATTTTCAAAGTCCACTTGTGATTTCAGGTGGATTTGTATGTGAGCCTAGTAGATCAGGTAAAGTAATTTTCCTCTCTGTCTACTGTGTTTTCTCTGTGACTTCTAGGCTTTAGAGGCTTTTGAGTAGGATGAATGGATCTCTAAATTAGACTTTTTTCTGTGTATCTACCCAAATATTTTTCCTATTGAAGAGGCTGGCTGTGACAGGAATGTTGGACATTTTGTTAGTTTAAGATGCTTAAATACAGTGTATTTACAGAGCTTTGGTTTTGATTCACTGCTTTTCTTGACCCTTTTTCAAGTTTTTTATAAATGGTGCCTATTGATGAGTAATAAAAAAGTTATGGGCATAAACTTGTGTTCTGTATTAATGAAAAGTCAAGAATGTCTATGATATTTGTTTTAATTTTAGGAGGAATGTGTAACTTTGGGGCAACAGTGACATGTGAGAAATGGCATTAAGCTGTAAAAAACAAAAACTCACTCTTGTTACTTAAGAGAGGTTGGAGGATTGAGCTTTTGGAGCTGCTGGCTTGCTTGATGTTCCTTGTGGCAGAGTAAAAAAGTTATTTAACTGGGAACTATATTGATTTCCAGATATTTAATTATGAATCTTTTCCTTAAAAGTTAGTTGTCCTGTTTGCGGGCAGACTGTGGTGTTTTTATTGTCCAGTGAATCATGCTATTCTGCTTTTGCTACTGGAAACTATGCTACAGATTGCACTTTTGGTTTCAAAAGGGAAACATGTATTGATTATCTGGGGAATTGATCAGGAAAAGCAGTCACTTGAAGTGCAGGCTCTGCTGCAAATGGATTATTGTCTCTTCACTTATGAAAGACTAAAACTTAATAAAACATGATTTCAGTAGGTGATATATATATATGGCTTTAAAAATTCAAATAGCACCAAATGGCATATGGTACAAAATAAGTCTTCTCAGTATCACTAGTGCTGAATTATATTGATACTATGTGCTTTTCTTATGATGTGATGAAAATGACACCTTTTATGGTTTTCCTTACAAAATACCCTGACACCAGTCTAACCATGAGAAAAACATTGTACACATTCCAGTAGAGGGGCATTCTACAAAATAATTGACTATTACACCTCAAAACTGTCAAGATTCTCTAAAAACAAAGAAAGTGTGAAAAGATTCACAACCAAAAGGAACCTAAGGAGACATGGCAGCTGAATATAATATGTATCCTGGGCAGGATCCTGGGACCAAAAAAGGACATTAGGTAAAAACTAAAGAAATCTGAATAAACTGTGGACTTTAATCATGATATATTAATACTGGTTCATTTATTGTAGCAAAAGTACTGTACTAATTAATATAAGATGTTAATAATAGGGGAAACTAAGTGTGAGGTGTGTGGGAACCCTAGGCACTCGTTTCTCAACTTTTATTAAATCTAAAACTGTTCTAAAACATAAAGTCTTCTTCCGTTTATGAATCCACAGTACCCTGATCCAAAGGGAATTACTTGTTGCCATTTTCTTGTGACTCCTTTGAGAGATTTTTTTTTTTTTAAAGACGGGGTTTCACCATGTTGGTCAGGCTGGTCTGGAACTCCCGACCTCAGGTGATCCGCCCGCCGTGGCCTCCAAAGTGCTTGGATTACAGGTGAGCCACCACACCCGGCCTGAGAGACATTTTTTGCCATATAAACATGATGTATGTCTCTGTGTCTTGTTTTCCTTTTAAAGAAAATACAAATGGCCACATACCATATTTAGCATTCATTTTTCACTTAATAAACTATTTGGAGATAGTTCCATATCAACATGTATGTTCATTTGTATTCATAGTATTTTATGGTTTAGATATACCACAGCTTAACTGGTCTCCTTTTGATGGATAATTAGATTCTTCTCATTCTTTGACTGTAATGTATTAGTTTATAACTCTGACATTTGGAATAGAGTTAGGAGGTGGGGAGTGGGGATTGGGGTAGAGGAAGGGAACAGTGTAGTATTTTTTTTAAGTGTTTGGTTGACATTCTTTCTTTCTTTTTTATATTCTTTTTTTTTTTTCTTCCGGAAGAGGATTTGAGGCAGGTCGTCTCCCCAGTGGTTATGTAATAGTTGTTAAAAATTTAAATAGTTATTTAAATCTATTTGAAGACTATCTCCTCCTATTTGAAGAATGCCTCCTATGTACTGATCATAATGCTAAGTAACTACAGGTGACTATAGTAATGTATTAAGTTACAGGCCCAGATCTAGCTCATGATGAAGTAAAAGAGACAAACCTAGAAATATGATCGTGTAATACACTGTGCTAACATTATAGTACAGCCTTCTGTAAAAACACAGATTAGGGAGTGGCTAAACTATTTTTTCTTCCCCCCTTGGCTTTTAGATGAGCTCAGAAAAGGGAGTTGGAAGTTAGTGGTTGACTCAGTTGGATGATCTTTGTCACAAAGGAAAGAGAATGCCCTCTATTCTCTCCTGTTTGTAGCTACTAGAATCTGAAACTAGGTTCATGGAGTAAAGCAAGCTGGCCTGCACTCTACTAAGTCAGTCTCCAGGAGAACAACCTATAAATTGCTTGGGCTTATAAGCGGTACAAAATATTCAGTAACATGATTTCCTTATGCTTCAGTATATATTCAGGAAGGCATTGTATACTGTGGTATGATGCTGCTGCACACAGTTATGGAAGCCTTGTTCATTGTTTGCCAGGGAATGATTATATCTAAACATGGAGGATAAAGGGGAGTGCTGTGCTTTTCATTGGCTCCTTTTCGTGACAAATAAGACGTTCTTCCATGAGCTAGACTTGCTTTTCTTTCTTGTGTAACTTCAAGGGCTGCCTTTCTTTTGCTTATTTGATTATAATTACTTTTAATTACAAAATGACTATATTTCCACAGGGCATTCAAACACTGTTCCCCTAGACTTCAATTCCATTAATCTCCACAAAAATCCCATTTGGCAAGGGAAAGGGGTGTGTTTGTGCAACATTAATGGTGTCATGTAAAATGAATTGGTCTCTTTTTTTTTTTTCTTTTGAGACGGAGTTTCATTCTTGTTACCCAGGCTGGAGTGCAATGGCACGATCTCGGCTCACTGCAACCTCCGCCTCCTGGGTTCAGGCAATTCTCCTGCCTCAGCCTCCTGAGTAGCTGGGATTACAGGCACACACCACCATGCCCAGCTAATTTTTGAATTTTTAGTAGAGACGGGGTTTCACCATGTTGACCAGGATGGTCTCGATCTCTTGACCTCGTGATCCACCCGCCTCGGCCTCCCAAAGTGCTGGGATTACAGGCTTGCGCCACTGCGCCCGGCCACATTGGTCTCTTATTTGATCTGTTCATTTAATCATGTATGTTAGCATTTCATGTCACAGTATGTTGATTAACATTATTCATTTCATGGATGTAATAGAATTAATTTAACCTTTCTACTCTTGTTGGCTGTTACTAGTTTTTGGGTTTTTTTTTTTTTTTTTTTTTTTTTTTTGAGACGGAGTTTCGCTCTTGTTACCCAGGCTGGAGTGCAATGGCGTGATCTCGGCTCACCGCAACCTCCGCCTCCTGGGTTCAGGCAATTCTCCTGCCTCAGCCTCCCGAGTAGCTGGGATTACAGGCACGTGCCACCATGCCCAGCTAATTTTTTGTATTTTTAGTAGAGACGGGGTTTCACCATGTTGACCTGGATGGTCTCGATCTCTCGACCTCGTGATCCACCCGCCTCGGCCTCCCAAAGTGCTGGGATTACAGGCTTGAGCCACCGCGCCCGGCCAGTTTTTGGGTTTTTTTATTACAAACAATGCTGCAGCAGAACCCCCTTGTACGTTCCTTGTAAATTCTGAGAATTTCTCTAGGTTATCAAGAAATGGTTTTGCCTGTCTTAGGATTTGGGGATTTTAAATTTTGCCAAGAATTTGTTTTTGCTAAAAAAAAAAAACCCCAAGTTGTAGCTTTGAATGGATAGTATAATATTATTTACATTGGGAGAAAAGCCCAGGTATGTCATAGGTATATATTCTATTAACCAGACTGATAATAGTTGAAAACTTTGGAGAGAGTACTTACTAGACTTGAGAATGATGGTCAGAGGGATTTTGGCTTTTTTAGTTGTGTTCAAGTTTTTAAAACAAGAATATTTTCCTGTATTACTTGTTATAAATAGTTAAAAATATAGAGATGCCTGAATGATTTTCATCTTTTTGTTAACAGGCATAGAATATTCCCTGTTTTCAGTTGCATGCTGATAATTTTAAAACTTTGATAACTCATTGGGGTGTGGGAAAAGATATATGTCAAAATGTAGAATTAGGTGAGGATCACATTCTTTTGCCACTTTTATCCCAATCAAGAATATTTAATCACTTGTGTTTTCTAGATATTATAGTAAGAACCTTTCTAGCTTTCTTTTTAATGTTTGTATTCCTGTACCAGTGGCTAAAATTTTACTATTGCTCTTAATATTCTTTAATATAAAATAGAACATTTAAATATTGTTAGTATTACATGAATATAGTAATCACTTGCTTAAATTATGTTACTCCAAAGAATAGGTGTTTTTTGATATGTAACTTTTTTTTTTTTTTAAGAGATGTGAAAGCTGGAAACATTCTTCTTGGAGAAGATGGCTCAGTACAGATTGCAGGTAATGATTAGTATTTTTAAAATTTGATTTAGTGGTCAGTAGAACCACATTACTTACCTTTTATGTTTTCTTAATCAGTATTCTTTCCTGTTCCCTGGACCATCTCTATTCAAACGTCCTCTCTGGGCACATCATAGGATGCCACCAACTCTAAAGATATCTTCTCATACTCATCCTTCATTTCTGCTCTTAGACATTTTTTTTCTGACCATTATTTGTTTCCTTCCAGCTAATCACTTCTCACTTCCATGAGGGTCTTCTGCTACGTGTTCTCATAGCATTCTGTACTTTCCTTTAAAGGAAAAATACCCGAGGATCTTCATTGCGTTTAAAGAATAAATATGTTAAATAGAGGTTATACAGAGCTGTTTCTGTCCTGGGGGAAATTGAGTGTCAGTTAGGAAAAAGCACTTGAGGTGCTTTTGGTGGAGGTGTGCTCTTGGCAGTTTCAGAGCTGAAGAGATAAGAGTTTTAGTCCAGGGCCTGCCAGAAATGGCTATCCTGATGAAACACCCCCTTCTCCAGGCTGAGACTCCAGAACGACCGTACCCAGGGATTGTCTAGCAAGCAGATCATCTGAGAAAAACCTCAGCTTGGTCCCAGACTGCTAGAACAGTCAGGTGTTTGGCAGGAGGAAGATAATCACCCAAACCTTAAATTATTTCTTCATCTTTAAGAAGATAATTTAGGCGAACATCTTCATATCTGTGAGGTAAGGAAATATTTTAACCAAGTCACATAAAGTTCTAATATAAAGGGAAAGATTGATAAATTTGACACCTTTAAAATTAACAGCTTCTACTCATCAAAAGAGGAACAAATGGTTTTTTACTATTAACAGAGTAAAAGGCAAACCACAGAGTAGAGAAGATATTTGCAGCATGAGTAATTGTTAAAGGGCTCAAATGTAGAGTGTATAAAGAACTCATTGAGGGAAAAAAAAAAAAAGCTCTAAAAAGTGGGCAGAAGACTGGCATAGTCACTTCCCAAATGAAGACATCCAAATATAAATGTAGTAAAAGATACTCAACCTTACACTAGTAATTTGTTAAATGCAGAGTAAAACATTCGTGATAACATGTTAAATTGGTTGGCCTGGCAAAAACATCTGACAGTACTAATTGTTGGTGTGGGTGTAAAGCAAGGAATAAATCTCATTTCTGATGATGGGAATATAAATTGGTACAACCATTTTATTACAGTTGAAGATACACGTACTGTAAGTCTTTGACTCCTAGGTGTATAGCCTAGAGAAACTCGTCTGTATGTGTGCCACAGTATTCATAATCATAAGTTTGAAGTAATCCCAGTGCCTTTTATTAGTGAATGGATAAGTAAATTATGGTTAATTTATATACTGGAATACTTTTTTTTTTTTTTTGGACACAGAGTGTCACTCTGTTGCCCAGGCTGGAGTGCAGTGGTATGGGCAGTGTTGGCTCACTGCACCCTCTGCCTTCCAGGTTCAAGAGATTCTCGTGCCTCAGCCTCCTAAGTAGCTGGGATTACAGGCATGTGCCACCCCACTCGACTAATTTTCGTATTTGTGGTAGAGACAAGGTTTCTCTATGTTGGCCAGGCTGGTCCTGAACTCCTGGCTTCAAGTGATTCACCCACCTTGGCCTCCCAAAGTGCTAGTGTTACAGGTGTGAGCCACCATGCCCAGCCTATATTGGAATACTATATAATGATGAAAATGAATAGAACTATAGTGACATATGAAAGCATTAATAAATCATAAAAATATGTAGGAGATGGACTGGACATGGGTTTTCTTATCTAGTATGAATGGCACCGTAGCCAGCCACCTGCACAAACCAAGAATTTGGGAACAACTTTGCTCTCTGTCTCCCTTTTACTCATGTTCAGTCTGTCACCAGATCTTGCCAACACTGCCTCCTGACTCACTCTTTTATTTTTATTTTTTGTAGTGGTAAAATATACATAACATAAAATTGACTGTCTTAACCATTTTTAAGTGTATGGTTCTGATGGTTCTGTGGCATTAAATACATTCCTGTTGTCCAGCTGTCAGCACCATCTGCCTTCAGAACTAGTTCATCTTACTTGACTGAAACTGTACCAACTAAATAGTAATCCTCATTCCATCTCTCACCCCAGCTGTGGGTGACCACCATTCTCCTTTCTGTCTCCATGAATTTAACTACTTTAAGCAACTAAGTGAGCTCCTACAGTATTTGTCCTTTTGTGATTGACTTTATTTCATCTTGTATAATGTCTTTAAGGTTCATGTTGTAGTATATGTCAGAATTTCAGTACTTTCAAAAGCTGTATAATAATTCCATTGTATTTATATGCCGCATTTTGTTTATCCATTCATTCATCAATGGACATTTGAATTGCTTCCACCTTTGGCCATTGTGAATAATGCTGCTATGAACATGAGTGTGGAAATATTTGTCTGAGTTTCTTGCTTTCATTTCTTTTGGGTATATACCCATAAGTAGAATTGCTGGATCATATGGTTATTCCATGTTTAAGTTTTTGAGGAATTGATGTATTATTTTTCATAACAGCTGTGCCATTTTACATTCCCACCAAGAATGTACAGGAATCCCACCAAGAGCGCACAGGAATTGAATTTCTCCACACTTCACCAACACTTGTTAGTTTCTGGGGTTTTTTTTGTTTGTTTGTTTTGTTTTGTTTTGTTTTGTTTTTCAGGTGGTAGCCATTCTAAGGGATGTAAAGTGGTATCTACCTCTACCTCATTGTGATTGGATTTGTATTACTCTATTGATTAGTGATATTGAACATCTTTTCATGTACTTAAGGCCATTTGTATACCTTTTTTGGAGAAATGACTACTTAATTCCTTTGCCCATTTTTAAATTGGAGTGTTTGTGGTTGTTGTTGAATTGTAGGAGTTCTTTACATATTTTGGATGTCAATCCCTTATCAGATGTATGATTTGCAAAATATATTCTCCCAGTCTGTGGGTTGCCTTTCACTCTGTTGATAGTGACCTTTGATGCACAAAAGTTTTAAAATTTTGATTATCTACTTTTTTTATTGCCTGGAATTTGGTATTATATCTAAGAAATCATTGCTAACTCCAGTGTCATGAAGCTTTTCTCTTATGTTTTAAGGGTTTTATAGTTTAGGGGTTTCTAATTTTTTCACATCTTATTATAGATAGCACTTATTATAATATATTATAATTGCCTGATTCCACCTTCTGTATTTAGAAGTTGCACAAAAGACTGAGGGGACCTTGTCTTCCTTGATCATTACTTTTTTTCTTTTTTTTTTTTTGAGATGGAGTTTCGCTCTTGTTGCCCAGGCTGGTTGCAGTGGTGCAATCTCAGCTCACCGCCAAATTTCCCTTCTGGGGTTCTTCTGCCCCAGCCTCCTGAGTAGCTGGGATTACAGGCATGCACCACCATACCCAGCTAATTTTGTATTTTTAGTAGAGAAGGGGTTTCTCTCTGTTGGTCAGGCTAGTCTCGAACTCCCGACCTCAGGTGATCAGCCTGTGTCAGCCTCCCAAAGTGCTGGGATTATAGGCGTGAGCCACCATGCCCGGCCTGATCATTACTGTTGATCCTGTCACATAGTAGGTACCAAAGTCCATCTTGTACTTTAACTGAAATTGTATAACGAAGGAGCTAAGTGATTTTTTTTTTTCACATTTAAGTTACTGTTTCTCTTTAGTTGGCAATTTAAAACAAAAGGCAAATGGCATTTTTGCTCTTTGGTTTCCGTTCTTAATTTTATAGTTGGATTGATAATGTTTCCTTGGCATTGTAGCTGTGCAGGTTGTTTAACGAGAATATTTTGGTAAAGTGGATAGTCTCGCATTCCTTAGCTGAAGATCCAAAAATTCTGGATCATTATTAAGTTCTGTGTTTAAAATTCTGAATATTTGAAAGCTACTTGAAGGTTTTTAGTAGGTTTTTAAAAAGTAAAAACTCTTTATAATTGAACCTAAAAAATATGTTGTGTGTAAGTTGTTTGAGTCTTTATCATATTAAAGTATTTTAAGGTATGGCTTTCTTTCTTGTTAGTGATAAAAATACCTAGTACTTATTGAGTGTTTAGTATTAAAATATATAACAGGGACTATTCCAAGTATATTATTAATTCATTTAATCCTCAACAACAACCTTGTTGAGTAGGTACTGTTATTGCCTCCTTTTCATAGATAAAGAAATTGTAGCACAAAGATTGGAAATACCTCCCCAAGTTCAGCTGACTAGTGGCAGAGCTGAATGCACTGAATGTACTTTTTCCCCTTTCAAGTGCACTTTAAAATGTTTACTTTATTATTGTTGTTACAGGTGGAACAACATTTCAAAGTTCTTAGAAATTTGCCAGATTACGAGCATTGAAAACTGTTAGTATTATTATTTTAGAGAAAGGGTCTTGCTCTATCATCCAGGCCAGAGTGCAGTGGGGTGAATGTAGCTCACTGCAGCCTCCAACTCTTAGGCTCAAGCAGTCCTCCTACCTCAGCCTCCCAAGGAGCTAGGACTACAGGTGCCCGCCACCATGCCCAGCTAATTTTCTATTTTTTATAGGCATGAGGTCTCACCTCACTGTGTTTGTTGCCCAGGCTGGTCTCGAACTTTTGGCCTCAAGTGGTCCTCCTGCCTCAACTTCCTGAAGTACTGGGATTACAGGAATGAGCCACTGTGCCCAGCCAAGATTATTGTGTTTTTTAAAATTATTTTTCATAATTCTAAGTACATTCAGACAAAATTATTATTTTTTTAAACCTGTATAGACTTGTTATTTTTAAATTGTACTGTATAGACAAGCAATTTTTTTAATAAATTGCTTGAAAGTGGCAGAATTCATAGACTTCTGAATCTGGAATTTTAAAGTTTACCAGCTAAAATTATCCTTCACAATCAGTTTGTCCATAATTTATTGTATTTTCAAATTGAAAAAAAAGTATAAAATAGAAATTATGAAAACAAATAAATTTGAAAATACAATAAATTATGGACAAATATGGGCTCATTTTACATAATGCAGAGTGTTCTGGAACAGACACAAAAGTGGAGTCAGAAAAGGTGTACAAAAGTTGGATAAGGTATATAAGAGCCTCACTATATTAGTTAAAGTTCTTTTGGTTGTATTGGAAATTATCACAGGGTGACTTAACAAAGCAGGAATTATTGAAATAAACTAGGAAGTACACAGAATAGAAAAATCCACTTAACAGTTAAGCCTCAGAATGGGCAGGAACCCAGTTGTGCTGGTGACCTTCAGGATACTGTTAGCATGGCTCAGCTTCATTGACCCTTAGTTTCCTTGTCTGTCCATTCAAGCGTCACATTCTAGAAGATTTAAGATAGGCCTACCTTGGATTAAGGTGTCTAACTCTGGCTCAAATCAGGTATGCCCAGGGGTCAAGGTAAGGGAGTACACACACCCAAGGCTATTTACAGAAAAAGAGGGATCCTTATGAGACAAGCAGTCCTCCTTATCAGTGACTGGTACTTTGGCTTCAGTATTGTGGGATAAAATCTTTGTAGAGAAAATCCTGAGGCTTAGAGAAGTGAACTAAGTTTCCCATTGTCATATATCTACTAAGAGGTGAAGGAAGTTAGGATATATATTAAGAATTATGAACTTTAATTTATTTGGGGCCAAATTCTTGAGAGCTCTTTGAATACTAAGCTAAAAAGGTTGAATTTTATTCTGTAGGATTTTTTGAGCTGAAGGGGCCATGTCAAAGTGATAATTTAAAAATGAATGAATGAATGAATGAATGAATGAATGAATCTAATAGTGGTATGTAGAATGGATTAGAGCAAGGAGGAAAATCTGAGAACATGATAACATGTCAGGGTGGAGAGGAATGGAGTGAGGCACCTGCTAAACTATGTCTTTTTTGTTTTTTTGTTTTGTGAAGATAAACTACTTACTGAGCCTCCTGCCTTGGCCTCCCAAGAGTATTGGGATTATAGGCGTGAGCCACTGCTCCCAGTCTAAGCTATGTCTTAATTTAGCCAAGAAGTTCAGCAAAAAGATGAGAAACTATCATGCTTCTTATCTTATATATAGGATGGTGACTACATTTTATTGTTCTCCTATTCATTTATGAGAGTTGATGCACTTTCATACAACCTTACTGTTGTATTCTGTTTCAGACTTTGGGGTTAGTGCTTTTTTAGCAACTGGTGGTGATATTACCCGAAATAAAGTGAGAAAGACCTTTGTTGGCACCCCTTGTTGGATGGCACCTGAAGTTGTGGAACAGGTACTGTGTCTATTTTTCTGTTTTAAATGGATTAGGGCTTTGTTATGAAACTGAGAAAACTTAAGTGTTTGCTTTTCTTTGGCATACCAGGTTAGCTTTGGGAAACATGTCCCTGTTTCTTGGTTAGCACTTTAGTCCACTCTTGAAAACAAACAACAAAAACACTCTAGGACTTTGCAAAGGATATATGAAACTCAGGAATAATATAATCAAGGTTTGTATTAATTTTATTAGTACAAATTAGACTAATATTTACATCGAGATTTATTGCCGTGTTTCTTGAAGGACTGGTTGTCTCTATGTTCCCATTTCCCATTTCCTCTTCAAGCAGTTGCAGTCTGGTGTCACTCATCCCATCATTTTAAGGAAACTCTGCTACTTCTCAAATCCAGAGCTCATTTCTTACTCCTTATCTTACTTGTCCTATTGATGATATTTGAAACTGTTGACCATGCCAACTTTATTCACGTTCCTAGCCTTCTTAATGTTGTTTCTTCATTCTTGTCTTGTTTGTCAAGCCATTCCTCTGACTTTGCTGGTTCTCATTCTCCTGAATGGTGCTGCTTCCCATGACCTTATTCTTGAATTTTTCTCTTCTCTGACTGCAGATAGTCACTAGGTATTCCCATTTGCGCTTCTTATTAATGATTTCTAAATTATGTCCAGTTTTTTTTCCAAAACCCCCATATAGATATTTCTAGTTCTTAATAAATGCTTCACATAAATGCCTTATAGGTATATCAGACTCAGTATGCGACAAACTAAATTCATTTTTACTCTGTTTTAATCACCTCCATTCACCTTGTTGGTGAGGGAAGGATTTCCACTGTAAAGTTAAGGGAATGGCTGAACGCACAACACCTGACACTGGACAGATGAGATTGACAGCCATCTCTTAGTCACATACACTCACAACCTGGGGAGGAGAACACTGCCTGCCATGCTGGACCAGTGGGGTTGCACTCAGTAGCAGAATGAATGAGAAGGGGCTTTAGAGACGGGGTTTGTAGTACCAACAGAGTGTGATGGCCCTTGGTTTCCTTGAGAACATATGATTGACTGACAGGGAGCTGAAACCTGTTTCTCAGGGCCAAGCAGGAACTGTACATGGTCATTTGCTAAGGAGGATTGTTGGGCTAGGAGACATTATCTGCAAGAGCAGAGTGGGGAGGGGAACTTGTACCTAGGTCACTAAAGGCCCTTTAGTTTTACCAGGGGACAAGGCAGCACAGACTGTTGATCCTTACTTTTAGTCTTTCACACTACACACTCCCCAAACCTATTTCTCCTATATTGCTTAGGATAGAAAATTAAAATTTATAGCCATTTAATATGCTGGTGACAGTGTATAAGTAGAGAAATTTTGCAACATATTCACTCTAAAAAGTTTAAAAGTATTCACAATCTTTGTAACTTTTTCATTGTGGAAATTAAGGTGCCATAATGTAGATCCTTTGGAAAACAAAATAGCTACCCCACTACAAAACATTTTGTTTTAGTTCTTTCCAGTAGTTTACTGTTTGTAAAAGTTTTAGGACTCATGAGCAATTTTGTTTTTTTTCTTCATGTTTTATAACAAATGTTTCTTATATGTTCATATAGTATTAATACATATTGCTTTTAATTGACTAATTTTTTTTAATATACCATAATTAACAATTTCTTCACTGTTGATGAACATTCAGGTTGTGTCTTTATTTTTTCTGTTACCAGATATAGTTAGCTTTTGCCTACTTCATTTTACTGGTTTAATGCTTACGAACACTTTCATTGTTCTTGGTATACATTAGAAGCTAGCATTTTTCTTTGTTTATTTTTAGAGACAGAGTCTTGCTCTCTCGCTCACTCTGGAGTACAGTGGTGCCATCATGGCTCATTGCAGCCTTCAACTCCTGGGCTCGAGCTAGCCTCCCAAGTAGCTGGACTGCAGTTGTAACCATCATCACTCCTAGCTAATTAAAAAAAATTTTTTTTGTGGAGATGGGGTCTCCCCATGTTGCCCAGGCTGGTCTTGATCTCCTGGTTTCAAGCCCACCTAATCCTCCCACCTCAGCCTCTCACAGTGCTAGGATTATAGGCATGAGCCACTGTGCCTGGCCTCAGAACCTAACTTTTAAAAGTCCTTTTATGTTGATTAAAAATAATCATGCAAATCTGTTCTTGCAGGTCCGAGGTTATGATTTCAAAGCTGATATTTGGAGTTTTGGAATTACAGCAATTGAATTGGCCACAGGGGCAGCTCCTTATCATAAATATCCACCAATGAAGGTGAGGTTCATATTCCAAATACTACCCCAGCTCAAGTCCCAATTCCTTTTCAGAACCATTTGCCAGTCTTTTAATTTTTTTTTATTGTGGCAAAATACGCATACCATAAAATTGACTATCATCTTTAACCATTTTGAGTGTATAGCTCAGTGGTATTAAATGCATTCATAATGTTGTGCAGTTATCACTATCATCTATATCCAAACTCTTTTCATTTGAAAACTGGAACTCTGTACCCATTAAATAGTAACTCTTGATTCCCACTCTTTCTCAGCCCATTGTTTGTCTCCATGATTTGACTACTCTCAATACCTCATAAAAGTGGAATCATACAATGTTTATTTTTACATGACTAGTATTTCACTTAGCATAATGTCCCCAGAGTTCATCCATGTTGTAGTATATTGCAGAATTTTCTTGCTTTTTAGTGCTGAATAATACTCCATTGTGTGCGTGTATTGAGAAGCTAAACATCTATAGCAGGCGTCCCCAAACTACGGTCAGGACCGCGTGCGGCCCCCTGAGGCCATTTATCCGGCCCCCTGCCACACTTCAGGAAGGGGCACCTCTTTCATTGGTGGTCAGTGAGAGGAGCACAGTATGTGGCGGCCCTCCAATGGTCTGAGGGACAGTGAACTGGCCCCCTGTGTAAGAAGTTTGGGGACGTCTGATCTACAGCATATTATTTATGTGAAATACACATAATAATTCTGGGTTTTAAACAATTGATTTAGATAGAAGATAAAATGTTATTTGTTGGTGTGGGGTGCCTATATTGAAAAATGTTGACCACAATAGTTAAACTTTACTGAGTCCTCACAGGTTTATAGTATACCGAAAATTCTTACAGGTTTTAATGCTGACACTGCAGAATGATCCTCCTTCTTTGGAAACTGGTGTTCAAGATAAAGAAATGCTGAAAAAATATGGAAAATCATTTAGAAAAATGATTTCATTGTGCCTTCAAAAAGATCCAGAAAAAAGGTAAAATATGAGAAAAAGTTTACATGAAGAAGTCTAAGAATCACACACATGTATGTACAGGAAATGATTTGTACATATTCAAATGAACTAAATATAAACTTTAAGAAAGTATACAGAGACCATTATACTAGATTGGAAATGATTTCTGCCCTCTTTGTAGCATACAGTGTACCCTAAGTAGTTCAGCTTTTTCCTGATTAATTCCTTATAAAGTTGTACATTGTGAATTCTGTATTAATAAATGCCAAGTTAGTCGAGAGGTTTGTTTTCAGTTTGCATTTAAAACTTATAAATGGATGTCTTAATGCCATTTACAGTATTAATAAAGGAAAGACACATAGAAAATTTATATTTAGTGTCAAATAATCATATTTATTTCCATGTTAGAAAAGTATTTTAGTAAGTAGACCAAAAATTCAGATAGCTTCCTTGTCAATATTAGACAGATTGAATGGCAAGTAAGCAAATAAATAAGAACATCTAATGTGTGTAGCTTCGTGAATGAAACATAATCGTTGAACGTTGGACACAACCTTTTATTTTTGAGGTCACCTGGTACTTACTCATAGGGGTAGGACCTGAATCTCAAAGTCCTGATTCCTAATTTAGGGCTCTTTTTCCTCTGAAGCTTATTTGTCTGTTTTACATATATATTCCACTCAGCTTCTAAGCACTGAGTTCTTTAATTTTTGTTTCTCTAAAGATCATTAAAAGGGAAAGACTCTGATATTGTTGATCACATCTGTAGCATATGTAATAAGGCTTCAGAATTTATTGTTGGAAATGTTGGAAAGGGCCAAAAAAACAGGTAGCAAAATCTATACCTGTGTTTTATAATATTTTTTCTGTTTCGGAGCAAACAGTTAAAAAAGACAGGGAACACTTTTTTTTACCAAATTAGTTGATTAAAGAAACAAACTTCTCTTGCTATGAATAACTAGAAATGCCAGATAAAATCTATTCAACTAGCCGGGCGCGGTGGCTCAAGCCTGTAATCCCAGCACTTTGGGAGGCTGAGGCGGGTGGATCACGAGGTCGAGAGATCGAGACCATCCTGGTGAACATGGTGAAACCCCGTCTCTACTAAAGATACAAAAAATTAGCTGGGCATGGTGGCACGTGCCTGTAATCCCAGCTACTCAGGAGGCTGAGGCAGGAGAATTGCCTGAGCCCAGGAGGCGGAGGTTGCGGTGAGCCGAGGTCGCGCCATTGCACTCCAGCCTGGGTAGCAAGAGCGAAACTCCGTCTCAAAAAAAAAAAAAAAAAAAAAAAAAATCTATTCAACTTAAAGATTCTCAGATGCCAGAAATAATGAGGAAAGCCCTAAATTAAAGAAGAAATACTTGTGAACAAATCCTGTGACGGTCTTCAGTGAGTCATTATTCATTCTGATAACCCACTAACTTGGATTTGTAACTCCCATGTGAAGACTGGAATTGAGATCTTGGGCCCACCCCGTGGGGAGTTTGAACTGAGATTCTTAAAAGTAAGAACTTCAGGTGTCTGTATCCTCAGTAAAAGGATAGACAAGAGTGAAAACTGTCAGTCATCACTAACAGACATCAAAAATCTCTCCTGAATAATCAAGCCCTTCAACCTGGACATTCTACACGTTTAGAGTCTATATACTACCTATGTTATCCAGGAACCCACAGGATTAGAACGTTAAAAAAAAACAAATCACTTTTATTTTTGTGAGAAGCAGTCACAGAGCTGCACTGGAAGAACACTTAAACTCTAGCTCCCATTGAATTCCTGAACATAATGCCCCACTGAAGATAAGGTCACAATCCAAAATTAAGAAACACACAGTGAAACAATGCATTATGAACTGGTTAGCAGACACAAGCAGAAGGATTAGTGCCCAAGAGATTTAGGTAATATAGTGATAATCTGAAAAGATATAAAATTAAGTATATTGAAAATAATTAAAATCATAAGAGAAGAAATCAAAGCCACAAGAAAAGACTGTGACTATGACAAAAGAAATAGCAATGCCAGAAATGAAAAATACAGTAATGTTTGAAACTTTATGAGTGTGAGCTAGACTTACTGACTCAAGTCTGATGAGTAGAGTATGAAAGGAAAAATAACGACTTTTAATGCACCTCCTCTACCAAATGACCAAGGTTAACATCACTATTAATAAGACATTCATAAGACTGATACACCCCTTGATACAATGCAGCAAGATGAGCATATAATCAGTGAGGTATTCTTCCTCCAAATCTGTAACTTCAGTCTAGAATGAGAAAACATCAGACAAACCTATTTGAGGAATATGCAGCAAAATACCTGACCAGCACTCTTCAAAACTGTCAAGGAGAAGAAACTAAGAAACTGTCACAAATTAGAGGAAATTAAGATGACATGAAGACCGAATGCAACAGACTGTCCTGTACTAGATCCTGGCACAGAAAAAGGACATTAGTGGACAAACTGGAGAAATTGAATAAGTCTGTAGTTTAGTTAATAGTATTGTACCAATGTTGATATTTTAGTCTGTTTCCTTATTATACCATGGTTATGTAAAAGGTTAATAACAACAGAAATCATCTGAGGTGCTGGTTCTTAAACTTGAATGCATATTGGAATTACCTGGGGAGTTTTAAAAATTACTAATGCCAATTAAAGATTCTGCTGTATTTTATTATTTTTAAAAATTGTACTTTAAGTTCTGGGATACATGTGCAGAATGTGCAGGTTTGTTGCATAGGTATACACTTATATGGGGGTTTGTTGCACCCATCAACCTGTCATCTACGTTAGGTATTTCTCCTAATGATATCCCTCCCCTAGACCACCACCCCTGACAGGCCCTGGTGATGTTCCCCTCCCTGTGTCCATGTGTTCTTACTGTTCAACTCCCACTTATGAGTGAGAACATACAGTGTTTGCTTTTCTGTTCCTGTTAGTTTGCTGAGAATGATGGTTTCCAGCTTCATCCATGTCCCTGCAAAGGCCGTGAACTCATCCTTTTTACTGGCTGCATAGTATTTCATGATGTATATGTGCCACATTTTCTTTACTCAGTCTGTCATTGCTGGGCATTTGGGTTGGTTTCAAGTCTTTTTTTTTTTTTTTTTGAGATGGAGTTTTGTTCTTGTTACCCAGGTTGGAGTGCAATGGCACAATCTTGGCTCACCGCAACCTCCGCCTCCTGGGTTCGAGCAATTCTCCTGCCTCAGCCTCCCAAGTAGCTGGGACTACAGGCGCGTGCCACCATGCCCAGCTAATTTTTGTATTTTTAGTAGAGATGAGGTTTCACCTTGTTGACCAGGATGGTCTCGATCTCTTGACCTCGTGATCCACCTGCCTTGGCCTCCCAAAGTGTTGGGATTATAGGCATGAGCCACCAAGCCTGGCCTGGTTTCAAGTCTTTGCTGTTGTGAACAGTGCTGCAGTGAACGTACGTGTGCATGTGTTTTTATAGTAGAATGATTTATAATCCTTTGGGTATATACCCAGTAATGGGATTGCTGGGTCAAATGGTATTTCTGGTTCTAGATCCTTGAGGAATCACCACACTGTCTTCCACAATGGTTTAACTAATTTATACTTCCACCAGCAGTGTAAAAGCGTTCCTATTTCTTTACATCCTCTCCAGCATCTGTTGTTTCCTGACTTTTTAGTGATCGCCATTCTGACTAGCGTGAGATGGTATCTCATTGTGGTTTTGATTTGCATTTCTCTAATGACCAGTGATGATGAGCTTTTTTTCATATTTGTTGGCCACATAAATGTCTTCTTTTGAGAAGTGTCTGTTCATATCCCTTGCCCACTTTTTGATGGGTTTTTTTTTTTCTTGTAAATTTTTAAAAGTTCTTTGTAGATTCTGGATATTAGCCCTTTGTCAGATGGATAGATGGCAAAAATGTTCTCCCATTCTGTAGGTTGCCTTTTCACTCTGATAGTAGTTTATTTTGTTGTGCAGAAGCTCTTAAGTTTAATTAGATCCCATTTGTCAATTTTGGCTTTTGCTGCCATTGCTTTTGATGTATTAGTTATGAAGTCTTTGCCCACAACTATGTTCTGAATGGTATTGCATAGGTCTTCTTTTAGGGTTTTTATGGTTTTAGGTCTTACATTTAAGTCTTTAATCCATCTTGAGTTAATTTTTATATAAGGTATAAGGAGGGGGTTCAGTTTCCATTTTCTGCATATGGCTAGCCAGTTTTCCCAACACCATTTGTTAAATAAGAAATCCTTTCCCCATTGCTTGTTTTTGTCAGGTTTGACAAAGATCAGATGGTTGTATAGTGTTATATCTGAGGCTTCTGTTCTATTCCATTGGTCTATATGTCTGTTTTGGTACCAGTACCATGTTGTTTTGGTTACTATAACCTTGTAGTATAGTTTGAAGTCAGGTAGCCTGATGCTTCCAGCTTTGCTATTTTTGCTTAGGGATTGTATTGGCTATATAGGTTCTTTTTTTGGTTTCATGTAATATTTAAAATAGTTTTTTCTAATTCTGTGAAGAAAATCAGTGGTAGCTTGATGGGGATAGCATTGACTCTATAAATTACTTGGGGCACTATGGCCATTTTCACGATATTGATTATTCCTGTCCATGAGCATGGAATGTTATGTTTGTTACCTCTCTTATTTCCTTGAGCAGTGGTTTGTAGTTCTCCTTGAAGAGGTTCTTCACATCCCTTTTAAGTGGTATTCCTCAGTGTTTTATTCTCTTTGTAGCAGTTGTGAATGGGAGTTCACTCACGATTTGGCTGTTTGTCTGTTATTGGTGTATAGGAATGCTTGTGATTTTTGCACACTGATTTTATATTTTGAGACTTAGTGAAGTTTCTGTCAGCTTAAGGAGATTTTGGGCTGAGATGATGGGGTTTTCTAAATATACAATCATGTCATCTGCAAACAGAGACAATTTGACTTCCTCTTTTCCTGTTTGAATACCTTTTATTTCTTCCTCTTGCCTGATTACCTTGGCTGGAACTTCCAATACTGTGTTGAATGGGAGTGGTGAGAGAAGGCATCCTTGTCTTGTGCTGGTTTTCAAAGAGAATGCTTCCAGCTTTTGCCCATTTGGTATTGGCTGTGGGTTTGTCATAAATAGCTCTTATTATTTTGAGGTACATTCCATTAATACCTAGTTTATTGAGAGTTTTTAGCATGAAGTGGTGTTTAATTTTATCGAAGGCCTTTTCTGTATCCGTTGAGATAATGATGTGATTTTTGTCATTGGTTCTATTTATGTGATGGATTATGTTTATTGATTTGCGTATGTTGAACCAGCCTTATGCCCTAGGGATGAAGCCAACTCGATTTTGATGTGCTGCTGATACGGTTTGCCAGTATTTTATTGAGGATTTTTGCATTGATGTTCATCAGGGATATTGGCCTGAAATTTTCTTTTTTTGTTGTTGTGTTTCTGCCAGGTTTTTTTTTTTTTTTTTTTTTTTTTGAGACGGAGTTTCGCTCTTGTTACCCAGGCTGGAGTGCAATGGCGCGATCTTGGCTCACCGCAACCTCCGCCTCCTGGGTTCAGGCAATTCTCCTGCCTCAGCCTCCTGAGTAGCTGGGATTACAGGCACGTGCCACCATGCCCAGCTAATGTTTTGTATTTTTAGTAGAGACGGGGTTTCACCATGTTGACCAGGATGGTCTCGATCTCTCGACCTCGTGATCCACCCGCCTCGGCCTCCCAAAGTGCTGGGATTACAAGCTTGAGCCACCGCGCCCGGCCTTCTGCCAGGTTTTAATATCAGGATGATACCTCATAAAATGAGATAGGAAGGATTCCCTCTTTTTCTGTTGTTTGGAATAGTTTCAAAAGGAGTGGTACCAGCTCGTTTTTGTAGCTCTGGTAGAATTTGACTGTGAATCCGTCTGGTTCTGGCCTTTTTTTGGTTAGTAGGCTATTAATTACTGCCTCAATTTCAGAACTTGAAATTGGTGTATTGAGGGATTTGACTTCTTTTTGGTTTAGTCTTGGGAGGGTGTATGTGTCCAGAAATTTATCTATTTCTTCTAGATTTTTTAGTTTATTTGCATAGAGGTGTTGATAGTATTCTCTGATGGTAGTTTGTATTTCTGTGGGATCAGTGGTGATATCCCCTTTATCTTTTTTTATTGTGTCTATTTGATTCTTCTCTCTTTTCTTTATTATTCTGGCTAGCAGTCTGTCTATTTTGTTAATCTTTTCAAAAAACCAGCTTCTGGATTCATTGATGTTTTTGAAGGGTCTTTTGTGTCTCTGTCTCCTTCAGTTTTGTTGCCCAGGCTAGAGTGCAATGGCACAGTCTTGGTTCATCCGCAACCTCCACCTCCTGGTTCAAGTGATTCTCTTGCCTCAGCCTCCTTAGTAGCTGAGACTATAGACGTGCACTACCACTTCTGGCTTATTTTTGTATTTTTAGTAGAGATGGGGTTTTGCCATGTTGGCCAGGCTGATCTTGAGCTCCTGACCTCTGGTTATTCACCAGCCTTAGCCTGCTAAGTACTGGGATTACAGGCATCAGCCACCATGCCTGGCCTTCAACATTCTTAAAGAAAAGAATTTTTAACTCAGAATTTCATATCCAGCCAAACTAAGCTTCATAAGCAAAGGAGAAATAAAATCCTTTACAGACAAGCAAATGCTGAGAGATTTTGTCACCACCAGGCCTGCCTTACTACAAGAGCTCCTGAAGGAAGCACTAAATATTGAAAGAAAAAACCAGTACCAGCCACCACAAAAACATACCAAATTATAAAGATCACTGACACTACAAAGAAACTGCATCAACTGACGGGCAAAATAACTAGCTAGCATCATAATGACAGGATCAAATTCACACATAACAATATTAACCTTAAATGTAAATGGGCTAAATGCCCCAATTAAAAGACACAGACTGGCAAATTTGATAGAGTCAAGACTCATCTGTGTGCTGTATTCAGGAGACCCATCTCATGTGCAAATACACACACAGGCTCAAAATAAAGAGATTAAGGAAGACTTACCAAGCAAATGGAAAGCAAAAAACAAAACAAAACAAAAAAATGAATTGCAATTCTAGTCTCTGATAAAACAGACTTTAAACCAACAAAGATCAAAAAAGACAAAGAAAGGCATTATATAATGGTAAAGGGATCAGTGCAATAAGAAGAGCTAACTGTCCTGAAGATTCTGCTTTAATTGGTATGAGGTACAGCCTGGTCATTGGTTTTTGTTTTTGTTTTTTTCCTTTTTTTTCCCTGAGACGGAGTCTCACTCTGTCACCCAGACTGGAGTGCAGTGGCACAATGTTATTTTGCTGCAACCTTCAGGTCCTGGAGTCAGGTGATTCTGCTGTCTCAGCCTCCCAAGTAGCTGGGACTTCAGGTGTGTGCCACCATGCCCGGCCAATTTTTGTATTTTTTTTAGTAGAGACAGGGTTTCACCATATTGGCCAGGCTGATCTTGAATTCCTGACCTTGCGATCCACCTGCTTTAGCCTCCCAAAATGCTGGGATTACAGGTGTGAGCCACTGCGCCCAGCTGGTCGTTGGGGTTTTTACATTCTTCCTAGATAGTTTAATGTACTGCAGTGTTTAAGAACTGCTCTTAGGGGCTTGGCTAAGTAATACTGAACCTTAGAGAGGCTGTGATTTGCCCAGGATCATATGGTAGGTGTGTGGCAAAATCAGGTCCAGGATCATATGGTAGGTATGTGGCAAAATCAGGTCCAGTCTCTTAAATATCAAATTCTTTATTCTGAATGATACTCTTTTAAAAGCTTGTAAAATTGACAGTCATGTCTTTACTCAAAAGGAAATAAAACCATGAAGAGATGAGTTAAACACCGAGTTTTGTTAAATTTGGGGAATATACTTTACTTTTAGATTTTTCATTTTTAAAGGGAGATTGTGAAATGTATTTTTAAGGATCTGTGGTTACCTAAATTGAAGGCTGGCAGGCTACCATGTGGCAAGAAGTGGAGGTCTTGATCTGATCCATTTCTTCTTTGTATGTTTAGTATGTTTTTATGCCTTGCTAAAAATGTTAGTTAGAGATTGTCTTGCTTACTTATTGGGAAATAATATTAAAGGAATAATATTATTATTAAACAGCAAATATATTAGACTCCATTAAGAAATCATGCTTCCAGAAGAAACATTTCACTAATGATTTTCTCAAAGAATCTACAGTAATTACTATCAGAATATTTCTGTTTTGAGTTTTTTATTTTATTGAATGTCTTGTACCAAGTTTATTTTATTTTTGCTTTTCAGCAGTTTAAGGAAAGTAGAGTATACCGAGTTTTTATTTTACTGTTGAAAAAATTTCTTTCTCATTTTTAATGATGAAATCTCACATTACACTTCAATTAATTGTAAAAACTTTTCTTCCTTCCCTCCCTGGTTTTAGACCAACAGCAGCAGAACTGTTAAGGCACAAATTTTTCCAGAAAGCAAAGGTAGGAAATCCCAGCTTTTGATTATGTGTATTCATAGGATGCTCCTCAGTTACTCAGATTATGTTCACTGCTCAGAGCTGCATGGTTATGTTTGGAAAAATGATGGTAGATAAAATAATTGCGGATACCGTCTTTGGTAATTAAGATACGTAAGAATTTAGTAAATCCATTTTTAAATGTTAGGCTAAACTAATCATAGAAATAATGATTTTGCCATTATAAATATGATTTGTGAAAAATAATGAACTCTGATTTTAATTAAGGTTCGCTACTGAATTTGTAAACATCTCATTTCCTAGAGATATCAGGTGGTGGGATGTTACAGTAGTTGGAAATGGAGGACCATGATCTCAAAAAACATACAGTATAGCAGACTTTTCTTAGGCATTGGTTCATACGGTGTACTATGTCTTAGTTTTCTGTCTCAATTTATGAAATTGTGGTAATAATGTACTAAAGGAGCTTCAGAGTAAAAGAGTGAACATTTTTCTCACACTTTATTACAGACCTGTTATTGTATCACATTTTTATTATGGTGAACATTTTTGTGGGGTTTTTTTGGTTCCATAAAAACTTATAAGAACAAAATACATACTTTTCCTCTCCAGAATAAAGAATTTCTTCAAGAAAAAATATTGCAGAGAGCACCAACCATTTCTGAAAGAGCAAAAAAGGTAAATCGGAATTTTAACTCAGTTTTCCTGAAAAATTATTTAGAGTAGATTTACTTTATTTTTGCATTTTAAAAATATGTTAAGTAAGACATTGTTAACAGTATATGAGTATTACTGGTTTTCTTTCAGTCCTTTCTAAAGCATTCTTTGATGCATTCATTCAGCAGATATCTTTGGTCTACTGTATGCCTTGGTGTTACTCTGCTATCTATTAGGATGAAAAGGTATGCTAGAAATTAATTGGTAAATCAGTCATAAACTCTGATAACTGTTTCCAGCTACCAGAGTGAGTTGTGATTTTACATAGCATTTATAGCTTTGACTGTAAGTCACAGTACCCTCTTGTAACTTCAAATTTTCTGTTATTTTTACTGAAAGACTGAAATAACCTTATTATGCATATGTAATTTCTAAGAGATTAGGTCATAATGTGAGTATAGAGAATGCTTTAATATCTCAGTTTGGGCAGAATATATTAATTTTCCTGTCCATGATACTTTTATGTACCTTGGTGAGAGCAGGGAGAAGAAAATCCTCCCGTTTCCCCTCTCTTACTTCCCCACTCAAGCAGACTTATCCAATGTGAAGGAAAGGAGGCAGCTTGGGCTTCTGCTGATGATAGACCTGAAGAAAGTAAAGGTCTTATTTATACTTTATATAATATAGTGGTAGGCCTGTCCAAGAAGTTAGAAGAGTTATACTAGCAGTGACTTACTCTCTTCTATAGATCTCACTGCTTGGAAATTTTGATATTATTCTAATAATTTAACACAATAAAGAACAAAATGATATTCTTTTTTTTTTTTTTTTTTGAGACGGAGTTTCGCTCTTGTTACCCAGGCTGGAGTGCAATGGCGCGATCTCGGCTCACCGCAACCTCCGCCTCCTGGGCTCAGGCAGTTCTCCTGCCTCAGCCTCCTAAGTAGCTGGGATTACAGGCACGCGCCACCACGCCCAGCTAGTTTTTTGTATTTTTAGTAGAGACGGGGTTTCACCATGTTGACCAGGATGGTATGCATCTCTCGACCTCGTGATCCACCCACCTCGGCCTCCCAAAGTGCTGGGATTACAGGCTTGAGCCACCACACCCGGCTCTTTTTTTTTTTTGAGATGGAGTTTCACTCTTGTTACCCAGGCTGGAGTGCAATGGCGTGATCTTGGCTCACCGCAACCTCCACCTCCTGGGTTCAGGCAATTCTCCTGCCTCAGCCTCCCGAGTAGCTGGGTTTACAGGCACGCACCACCATGCCCAGCTGATTTTTTTTGTATTTTTAGTAGAGACGGGGTTTCACCATGTTGACCAGGATGGTCTCGATCTCTTGACCTCGTGATCCACCTGCCTTGGCCTCCCTAAGTGCTGGGATTACAGGCGTGAGCCACCACGCCCAGCAGAAATGATATTCTTAGTAAGCACTGGTAGAATAGTCAACTTGTCTCTCTAATTTAGAGATACACCTTTTTCAGTGGTTGTAATTCATTGTTACATATCAGAATCAGTTGGGGACTTAAGAAACATAAACATTATCATCCAAAACCAATCAAAGTCATGTCTCTAGTGGGTGAGACCTGGAAGATTATCCTTATGGATAGCCACTAGGCTAAAATCTCACTTGACTAATTTCTTCACTTTCTGTCAAGTCTATTCAAATGGCCCTTCCTCAGAATAATATTCTCTGATTACTAAAATAATACCCTTCCATGACTCTCTGTCCTTTTATCCTACTTATCACCATCTGACGTTTTACAGTCTTTCTTTACCATTAGAATAAAAGCTTAATGAGAACAGGGACTTTTTTTCATTGCCATATCTTCAGTGTGCCTAGAATAGTTCCTGACACACAGGACATTCTTAAATAATGTATATCTTAAAATTTCTATGCTTATTATTGTTTAAAATAAATCCCAACTGAGAGACATCTTGATTTCGTATCTGAAATCTGATTAAGAAGAGTAGGTTGGGCATGATGGCTCACACCTATAATCTCAGCACTTTGGGAGGCCAGGGCTGATGGATCACTTGAGGCCAGGAGTTCAAGACCAGCCTGGCCAATGTGGTGAAACCTCATCTCTACTAAAAATATAAAAATTAGCTGGGCGTGGTAGCACATGCCTGTAATCACAGCTACTCGGGAGACTGAGGCATGAGAATAACTTGAACCCAGAAGAGGGAGGTTGCAGTCAGCCGAGATTGTGCCACTGTACTCCAGCCTGGGTGACAGAGCGAGACTCTGTCTCGAAAAAAAAAAAAAAAGAGTGAGCCTTAGGCTGGGAATTTGGTGACTCAGGCTTGTAATCCCAGTACCTTTGGGAGGCTGAGGTGGGAGGATAGCTTAAATCCAGGAGTTCAAGGCTAGCCTGAGTGACATAGTGGGACCTCATATCTACAAAAAGAATTTAAAAATTAATGAGGTGTGGTGGCGTACACATCTAGTCTCATCTTCTTAGGATGTTGAGGTGGGAGGATCACTTGAGAGGGTGAAGCTACAGTGAACTGTGATCATACCATTGCACTCCAGCCTTGGTGAATACCTACATTTGTTTCCACCCTCCTGCCAAAAATAATCTACTGAAAGAATTGTTAAGAGAATTAAAAAGGAGACCAGGCGTGGTGGCTCATGCCTGTAATCCCAGAACTTTGGGAGGCTGAGGTGGATGGATTGCTTGAGCTTAGGAGTTCAAGACCAGCCTGGGCAACATGGCAGATTCTGTCTCTACTAAAAATACAAAAATTAGCCAGGCATGGTGGTGTGTGCCTGTGGTCCCAACTACTTAGGAGGCTGAGGTGGGAGGACTGTTTGAGCCTGGGGAGTAGAGGTTTCAGTGAGCCAAGATCATGCCACTGCACTCCAGCCTAGGTGACAGAGCGAGAGACCCCATCTCAAAAAGAAAAGAAAAAAGAGAATGAAAAGAACAGGAATATACCCCTAGTGGACAAAAAAATGGGAGAAGTAAAAGCTGCAATCAAATTTTCAAAACTGTGATGCCCACAAGTTAGTGGTAAGGGACTTGGCAAATCAGAGGACTATAACTGTTTAGCTAGTATTAAGAAAAGCTTAGAAGCTACCTTAAACAACAGAACCCCAAAAGATAAGGGAATTAACAGTGCCAGGTTCCTCCAGAAGTGAGAGTGAAAGTAAGGCTAAAAACTGCTCTGGTTTCCCTCCCTCTCTCCATGTTGCACTCCAAGAGATGGAGGTTTATCCTGCAGAAGGGTAAAAGAAATGGTGTCTGAACTGAAGGAAACCAGGCACAGTTAAAGATGGGAATAACTTACTGAAAAAGGGCTTTTAAGTAATTGTTTACACACTGAATGTTAAGAATCTCTATTCCTATTACTTCATTCACCTCCTGTAGCATAAACATTAAGGCTCATTGCCCCCTAGACAAGACATTGGAAAATCTTTATTTGATCGGTCTGACTAACCCAAGAGGAGAAACAAAAATACTGACATTGGAGGTGGGAAATGCCCAGATCATTCTGCAATGAAGCAAACTCCACTCAGCTAAAAGCTCAGTGCTTCCAATCAGTGTTTTAGTTCCTTGCTCTTAAATATGAGCATCGATCTAGGATCACAGGATACCTGAGGAAAACCTCTTAATGTGAAAGGCAGAGGACAAAATAGAAGAGAAAAAAAGAAACTTACAGTAAAGAGACTTTGCAGGAAGATAATTTAAATAAAAATCATGGCTCTCTTTAGAGATGAGTTTATATTCACTAGGCCTGGTAGCCCACGCTTGTAATCCCAGCACATTAGGAGGACGAGGTGAGAGGATCACTTGAGCCCAGGAGTTCTAGACCATCCTGGGTAAGAAGGCAAGACCCAGACTACCCCCCCGCCAAAAAAAAAAAAAAAAAAAAAGCTGGGCATGGTGGCATGTGCCTGTGGTTCCAGCTGCTCAGGAGGCTGAGGCAGGAGGATTGCTTGAGCCCAGGAGGTAGAGGCTATAGGTAGCTGTGTTCGCACCAGTGCACTTCAGCCTGGGTGACACAGTAAGACCCTGTCTCAAAAGAAAAAAAAAAAGAGTTTACATTCACAAAAAAATGAACATGATACTGTTAAAGAAGCATTTGTGCCATGACAATTCAGTGAAGACTAAAGAATCATCTTCAAATGGCCTTGGTACAACTGAATATTCACATGCAGAAGAATGAAGTGTTGGGTCTTTTCTTCTCATCCTACAAAAAAATTAACTCAAAATGGATTGTCGACCTAAATGTAAGAGCTAAAGTTATAATACTTCTGGAAGAAAATATAGCTATAAATCTTTGAGAACTTGAGCTAGGCAAAGCTTCCTTAGGTATGACACCAAAAATACAAGCAATAAAAGGAAAAATAGGTACATTGATTTTATCAAAAGTTAAAACGTTTGTGCTTCAATAGACACTAGCAAGAAAGCAAAAAGTCTACACAATGGGAATAAATATTTGCAAATCATATGTATGATAAGAGACTTGTATCTAGAATATATAAAGAACTTTTGCAACTCAGTAATAAAAAGACGACACATTTTTTTAAATGGGCAAAGGATCGGAATAGAAATCTATTGAAAGAAGATACATAAATGGCCAATAAACACATGAAAAGATACTCAATATTATTAGCCATCAAAAAATGCAAATCAAAGTAACAAAGAGGTACCACTTCACACCCACTAGGATGGCTATAATCAAAAAGACAGTAACAGCTGTTGGTAAAGATGTGGCGAGATTGGAACACTTCTACACTGGTCATGGGACTGTGAAATGGAGCAGCCACTTTGGAAGGCAGTCTGGCAGTTCCTCAGAAGCCTAAACAGAGTCACCATGTGACCCAGCAGTTCTACTCCTAGGCACACGCAAGAGAATTGAAAACGTAAGTCCACATAAAAATGTGTATGCTGCTCATAGCAGCATCATTCATAATAACCAAAAAAGTGGAAACAACCCACATGTTCCATCAGCTGATGATGAGATTTATAAAATGTGGTGTATTCATACACTAGAATATTATTTGACAATAAAAAGGAATGAAGTTCTGATACATGCTATAGCATGGATGATCTTTTCAAACATTATGCTAGTTTAAAAAGCTAGTCACAAAAGACCACATTGTATGATTCAATTTATGTGAAATGTTGAGAATAGACAAATGTATAGAGACAGAAAGTAGGTTAGTGATAACTTAGGACTGGTGGTTTTGGAGAGAAATGGGCACTTATTGCCAAAGAATATGGCATGTCTTGTGAGGGGTGATAAAGATGTTCTAAATTTGATGGTAGTGAAGGTTGCACAACTCTGAATATACTAAAAATCATTGAATTGTATACTTTTAAGTGCATCAGTTGTATGAATTATAAGGAAGTTTTCAGAGAACCAGGACCAGTACCAACAAAAAGCTTTTGGAAATTGAAAACATAGGAAGTGAAAAATTCAATACAAAGGTTGAGGAAATTTCCCAAAAAGGAGAATTCAAAAGATCCAAATGTAGAAAGAAAAAAAAAAAAAAAGAAAAGAACATTAGAGAACCATTTGAGAAGGTTCAGCATTTAAGTAAAGGGAGTTCCAGAAAAGAAAAACTGAGAAAAACAGAAGAAAGTAAATCATTGACAAAATAATTCAAGAAAAATGTCCAAAACTGGATGGTCAAGAATTTCTAGATTGAAAGAGTCTTGAGCATTCAGCACAATGAATAAAAATAGACTAATGCTGACACACATTACCATGATAGGTCAGAATACTAGAGGCAAAAAGAATAATCTGTCGTCTTCCAGGGAGCAGGGGAAATGTCACAGACAATATCAGGAGTCATGATTACCTCAGTAGCACTTCTGGAAGCCAGATACAGTGATGCAGTTATCTTCAAAATTATGAAAGAAAGTGCTTACTGATGTAGCCTTTTCTTTTTTAACCAAACAATGAATGAAGTATGAAGATGGAATCAAGATAAGTTCAGAAAAGCATGGCTTTAATAAATGCTAATAATGGAGATGGTGCCTAAAGTAAAAACAGAAGTCATGTGATCCAGGACACACAATCCTCTGGATGATGGTAGAGTTTGATCTGAAATAGCAGACGTGCTGTGAAGCCGGTCTAGGATATCAGGAGGTTCTGGTGAGAGTCTTCTTCAAGAAGATGATACTGATAGAATACCCATTTGAATGTGGTCAAAGGAGATTTAAACAGCTGAGACAGAATAAATACTAACTACCAGGGAAATAGAAATGGTAATATACAATAAAGCTCAGCTCTGAATATGATATATATATATATATATATATATATAAAATCATGTTATGTAAACACTGAATATTGATCTAACCAAAATTATAGTCTATCTTGAGAAAACAATAGAGAGTTCAAAACATAGTTAAATTTTCATCTTCTATTGTGGGAAGTCCCACAGATAATTTCTAAAACCAGAAAATCAGTGAGTAATGATAGGAACACGTATTCAAGAGATGAATATCCAAAAGGATAAGTAAAATGAGTTGAAAGTGGTTGTTGGTGGAGATGAAGATGAAGGTTAGAAGGTTGCTGTTTTTCTTAACAAAACATGCACAGCTCTAGTACTTTGGAAATTATATGCAAGTATAATTTTGACTTAAAAATAAAAAATAACAGATTTTAAATCTTGTGTTGATTCATTTTGAGTACCCAAAACCTCTTTTTTTTCCTTAAATGACTCAGGACATTAAAAATGAGATTTTACCTGTGATTTTACATAGGATTTTGATGTTGTTTGGGTTCAGAGTATAGAATTACAGTGCTTGTTACTAAAGACAGGTGGTAGAGATTGTCAATAGAGCAAGTGATGGTTGGAGGATATGAATTTGTATGGGAACATTTATGGGGAAAATGATTATCTACTTAATGGCTTGAAGTGACAGAAGAAGAGAGAAATACGGAGTTTTCTACTTAGTAAATATGAAACACTACCATAATCCACTTCTCTTTCTAATGAGCAGGTTCGGAGAGTACCAGGTTCCAGTGGCCGTCTTCATAAGACAGAGGATGGAGGCTGGGAATGGAGTGATGATGAATTTGATGAAGAAAGTGAGGAAGGGAAAGCAGCAATTTCACAACTCAGGGTAAATTTTATTAAACTGTGTACTTTAGCTAGAACTGCGTGTGGTTCTTGTTCAGTTTAACCAGCGAAAACAGAAAGAATACAAGTGTGACAGGATTTTTTGGAACAACTTACTAATAATAGGAGCCCAGTTAATTCTGCATAGGAAGTTGGCCTTGGACATCTGTTTGAATATGATAATATTTAGAGTATATAAAAATGACCCAAATCTAGAGATGAAAGCTACAAATGTCTGAAATGCAGAATACACTGGATAGGATTAATGCCAATTAGACATTGCAGAAGAAAAGGTTAGTGAACTTGAAGGCCCAGCAATGGAAGCTTTTCCCCTGAAGTCTATTATCCTACCTCAGGAAAAACAGTTTATCTCTTACTCAGTTGATACTTCCTAGATATCTGGCATGCGTGTGTGTGTGTGTGTGTGTGTGTGTGTGTGTGTGTGTGTGTGTGTTTGCTAAAAACAGTGAAGACAAGAGTCTTCCTTTTGGTTCATTTCATCACTCTTGCCTAAAAGCACTTCCTCAAGTGGATTGGCAGAACTAATTCCTAAGACTTGGAAGTGTTTTTATAAGGAAATATAAATGTTTGAGGGTGTTATACCTTTGACTGCTTAGGACTACTTTTGTGGGATGACGAGTGAATATACTCATATATCTCTTCCTGCTTTTAGGATCTGCTTCGTTGAAAGCACTTACAACTCTCTGTTGATCGACATTAAATATTTGTTGACCTTGTTTATCCAACGAGGTCTTTGAGTCTAGTCCTTTTGCAGAGCTAAATTTGTAAAGGCCTTACCAATGGAAGTTGGCAAAAATCTATTAAGTGCTAAGGTTGGAAACACTGTTTAGAAAATAACAAATGCAAACATTTGTTTACATACAATTGTGAGTTTAATGTTTCTTTATAAATGTGAGACTATGGCATCCTTTCTTTCTTTTTCATGTGACTCCTCTCTGAATTGATACTCTCATGTATTGTTCTATTAAAGCTACCAGAGGAAGCTAGAGCTACATGAATTCTGTAGCTCTAGATTCCTGTGAAAGGGATGATGATGCTATTTTTCTTCTGACTAACAAATATTTGGAGAGATACATTATAGCATTTCAGTATCAAATTATTACTCTCTAGCTATCTATAGAGAAATTTGGTAATTCTGAAATAGTTACAGTAGCTTTCTTATAATCTAATACATTGATATCTAAACAACACAGAAACATATACTTTGGCCAGAGAGTAAGTAGTTTTCTGTCCAGTATTTCTCTTGTTATCTTTATAGCCGTTTTTGAGATCATTTATGCTTTTTAAGAACCATGAATCTTTTAAAACTAAATAGAACTATATTAAGAAAAGAATATACTATGAGCAAATGGGGTGGGGTGTAGTGATGGTTCAGTATTAGGAAATCTCATATTAATCATTATGAGATTTAATATTAATCATTTAAGGAAAAAAATCATTTTTATTTTCTTAGATTCTGAGAAAGGCTTTGACAAAATTCTGCCCATTTTCATAATGCTGTTCTATAGGTCCAGATTTTCATCTTTATATTATTTTCCTTATGCTTGAAAAACATTTCTTAATATTTTTTTGTGTGTCGTAAGTCTGTTAGTGATGATTTCTTTAAGGTTTTATGTCTGAAAATGTCTCTTTGTTTTGAGAAGGTACATTTGCAGGATATACAATTCCAGGTTGACAGGCTTTTTCTTTCAGCATTTTAAAGATATTTCTTTACCATCTTCTTGCTTGCATCTTTCCACTGAGAAATTTTTATGACATTCTTATTCTTGTTCCTTTATAAGTAAATGCCTTTTTTCTCTGGCTGCTTTTAATATTTTCTCTTTACAAATGTTTTTGGAAAATTTGATTATGATATGCCTAGGTATATTTTTCTTCGTGTGTGTGTGTGTGTGTGTGTGTGTGCGCGCGCGCGTGTGCGCGTGCACACTTAGGCTTTGTTGAGATTCTTGCATCTGCGGATTTATAGGTTTTTATCAAGTTTGGAAATTTTTCAGCCACTATATCTTCAAACATTTTTTTCTGTCCTCCAATAACATATATACTAGGCAGCTCAAATTCACAGCTCATTGTTTCTCTTAAGTTTTTAAAAATTCTTTCTTTCTGCCTATTCCATGTAGTTTCTATGCCAGCTTTCAAGTTCTGCAATATCCAATCTTCTAATCCTATCCAGTCTCTTTCATCTCTGGGATTGTAGTAGTCTAGAAGTTTAATTTTTTTTCTTTTCTTTTTCTTTTCTTTTTTTTTTTAAGCCTACGGCACTCGGTATTCCCAGGCGGTCTCCCGTCCAAGTACTAACCAGGCCCGACCCTGCTTTGCTTCCGAGATCAGACGAGATCAGGCACTTTCAGGGTAGAAGTTTAATTTTTTTCCCCCATCTTCTATGTCTCTACTTAACTTTTTGGAGATATGTATTACAGTTATGATAACTAGTTTAATATTCTTCTCTGCTAATTCTAACATCCATGTCAATTCTGAATTGGTTTTGTTTGGGAGCCGGGCACGGTGGCTCAAGCCTGTAATCCCAGCACTTTGGGAGGCCGAGGCGGGTGGATCACGAGGTCGAGAGATCGAGACCATCCTGGTCAACATAGTGAAACCCCGTCTCTACTAAAAATACAAAAAACTAGCTGGGCGTGGTGGCGCGTGCCTGTAATCCCAGCTACTTAGGAGGCTGAGGCAGGAGAATTGCCTGAGCCCAGGAGGCGGAGGTTGCGGTGAGCCGAGATCGCGCCACTGCACTCCAGCCTGGGTAACAAGAGTGAAACTCCGTCTCAAAAAAAAAAAAAAAAAAAAAAGGTTTTGTTTGGTTAATTATTCTCTTCCTTATGGTTTAAGAAGTGTTTTCCTGTCTCTCTGTGTCTAGTAATCTGATTCGATGCCAGACATTGTAATTTCCACGTTATTGCTTGCTGACAATTTTGTATTTCTATAAATCTTCTTGAGCCTTGTTCTGGTATATATTAAAGTTAGTTGGAAATAGTTTAATGCTTTTAGATCTTGCTTTTATTATTTGTTGACTGGATCTGGAGTAGTGTTCAGCCTACAGCTATTTATTCCCCACCACTGAGGCAAGACCTTTTTGAAAACACTGCCCAATCCCCTGTGAGTTACCAATTTTTCCAGTCGGACTGGTGGAAATAGGCGTTGTTGCTGGTTGTGTGTGAGTGCTATTCTCTGTTCCCTCTCATCTTTTTTGATGTCCCCACCCCCCAGGCATTTCCTCACGTGCATTCATTGATAAGTGTTCTGTCAAACATTCACAAGTGACCCTCTGCAACTCTCTAGGGTTCACTCTTTATAGCTTTCTCCTTCCTTGTACTGTTGTATTAACTTAATCTGCCTTAGTATCCCAGACTCTTAGCTCTGTTTCCTCAACTCAGGCAGTTCCTTGGATTTCATCTGGGTTTCATCTCCTTGTGCCACAGCTTGGAAGCTTTCAAAGCAGTATACACGGAAAAGGCCCACCACTTTTTTTCCATGTCTTTCATGGATGACTGTTTTTCTTTGACAAGTTTCAAATGTCTTGGAAATTCCTGCTTCATATATTTTGTCTTTTGTTGCAGAGGTGGGGTTGTTTCAGGTGGAAGGATAAATCTGGTGGTCCCTGTTTATTCATCATGGCCTGCAGTGGAAGTCTGCAGTTCTAATTTAAGTGAATGTGTAACTGTACTAAAGGGGAATATAAAAAGAAAGAATCCAAGCAACCTATGATATAGCATTTGACTATCTGTTCTCAGTCAGATGGAGTTGATGGAGGAAAGAGAAAACTTAAGCCTTAAACTCCTTTTATTAGGATTATTTTTCATTGTTATATATGCACAGCAGTTCAGAAACTCTTGTAGGATTGAGCAAATGAGTAAATGTCTCTGTTCTTGGGAACCAGGATTCTCACTATAGAAGAAGATTATATATGAGTATGGAGCAGGGCATGGTGAGAAAGAATCCTGTGGGGATGAATTTGAATTGGAGGCATTGGTGAGAATTCAAGCTTTGTAAAGTATGTGTGTGAATGAATGTGTGTGCATGTATGTATATATGTGTGTTTATACTCAGCTTTGTCTACTGAAGGTCCTAGAAGCAAAGAAACCCCAATAATGACATGGATTATACCCAGATAATGGCCTGTAATACCATTCCCCGCTAAAGGAAACCAGGGCTCCTTTGAGAAATGGTTGATTCCAGGGCTTGGGCAGGGAAAATATAAGAGGAATCTTGAATATTATTTTCCTTTGCCGGAAGGAAAAGATACTTCAAAAAAAACTCATAAGGACACAAGTGCCAGCTTGAAGTTAGTCCTACTGTTGAAATCTGGGACAATTTAACCATCAAAATAAAGTACAACAATTAATTACAAATAATTTAGAAAATAGGTATCTATGAGTTCATATCAATAACAAATGAAATATTAAAAAATGGGAGAAAATGAATGGTTCTTCATTACAGTAGACGTCCAAGTGCTGACCAGTAAATACGGATGAGGGTTAGAGATGGAAAGTCATCATTTTAAAATAATCATCGTGAAGACAAGATTAGGCAGGAATCATCAATGAAGCTAAATATAGGGGGAAGTTTTGATAAGCAGGATATTTTCAAGGTCTTAAAGTATGTCCCCACATATTACCTATTCATTGCAAGGGAAAAAATAGTTGTTGGTTTTTTTTTATACTGGAAAAGTAGAAAAATTTCTTGACAAGGTGATTAAAATTAACATCACCAACGAGGGGCAAATGAACATGTGGTACAGTAAGAAGGACACGTCAGTATGTAGAATTCCAAGTGGGAATTCATGTAAATCTAATAATAAGGAAATATCAGATAAACCCCAAGTGAGGGACATATATTAAAGTATGTGGTGGGAGTGGAGGGAATGAATTCTCCAAAAATGTTGATGTTCCAGATTTTTAAAATTTAAGAAACATGAAAACTAACTATAATACATGGTCCTAGACTGCATCCTATACTGGAGGAAAAACTAAAGGCTACAAAGGACATTAGGGTCAATTGACATTTACACTATAAATCAGTAGTGTGAAGTTATATAAGAAAATATCTTGTTCTTAGGAAATGTACACTCTGATTATTAAGTGGTAAACAGCCGTGATGATATGCAACATATTCTCAAATGGTATAGGAAAAATATATTTAGAAAGAAAGAGAAAGTGAGCACCCAAATGATAAAGCAGATGAGGGGAAAAAAAGGTCAATAATAGATGAACTAGGGTAAAGGGTATACTTAAATGTTCTTGTATTGTTATTCTAGCACCTTTACTCTAAGTTTGAAATTATTTACAAAGTTTTTTTTCTTATACTCTGGATGATTTCAGTATTTACAAAGTTTTTTTTTTTTTTTTTTTTTTTTTTAAAGGTTTTAGATTGGTCATTTACTTGGTGTGCTATATTAGCTATTACCTGAACTTTGATATTCCTTAATGAAATGGTGATAAAAGGTTTTTTTTTTTGAAAAAACATAAATTTATCTTTTTTTTTTTTTTTTTTTTGAGACAGAGTTTCGCTCTTTGTTACCCAGGCTGGAGTGCAATGGCGTGATCTCAGTTCACCGCAACCTCTGCCTCCTGGGCTCAGGCAATTCTCCTGCCTCAGCCTCCTAAGTAGCTGGGATTACAGGCACGCGCCACCACGCCCAGCTAGTTTTTTGTATTTTTAGTAGAGACGGGGTTTCACCACGTTGACCAGGATGATCTCGATCTCTCGACCTCATGATCCACCCGCCTCGGCCTTCCAAAGTGCTGGGATTACAGGCTTGAGCCACCGCGCCCGGCTTATCTTTTATATATTGTGACTAAATCCATCATTGGCAGAATTTACCATAAATTGTTATGTGTTTAGAGGTAAGTTTTTTGGTAAACTGCAGTGCCTGTATCCAGAATTACTGCTAACTTTTATGATTTACCAAATAAACAGCTTAAATTTTTATATGGCAGATTATAATTGGTAATTTCCTAATAAATGTGGTTTACACCAGATATTTGAGACCTCACCTCAATTTTTATTAATGTTTCAGTTTATTTTCACTCCCTTTTTTTTTTTGCTAGTGGTCCATGCTTTATTTTTGGACCACCCATGTTTCTTTACACACAAGATTCCCAAATATCCAACACCCAAGAGTAAGGGTAGAAGACTCGACATGCAGCATTCAGATCAATTTTGGCTCAAGAGTTTTCTCCATTAAAGCCCATAAACAGAATTACTCTGCTCTGAGAATGTGTTGGATTATTAGCTTAAAAGTTTAGGCTTTATCTGGGATCTTATATACATAATATATTCACCAATAGTAGAAAGAATTTTACTTTGAAGAATGTGACAGTCCCATTTTGTTTGCTTAAAAACTCACAATTTTAAAATACGGAATTTTAAATTATGGTAAGTACATTGATGTGTTTGTTACAGGCTCCCGGGACAAACAAATACAGTATTATCATGACAGTTATTTTTTCCAGAAAACTTTCAGTAGAGTTGCTGGTGAGTTACTATATGGATCAGAATTAAATGGAGTTGACTTGCATTTAACATCACTTGCAGTTAGGGACTGACTGCAGGTAACCTGAGTTGTGAGTTAACAAGCATCCTTTTTGTATTTCTTTTAGTCTCCCCGAGTGAAAGAATCAATATCAAATTCTGAGGTAAGAAATTGTGATTTTTGAATTCTTGTTCAAATATATGTGTTTTTGTTTTGGTTTCAATTTTACGTACTTTTTTTGTGTATGTGTGTGCTTAAATGGGAATGCGACTTTATACCAATCAGATTTTAAAAGTTGGCCTAAGGGCTCAGAATGTTCTTCCTTGTATCCTTGATTTTGTGAAATTTTTTTTGTCTTGGGCTGCTTGAAGTGAAAAGTTATTTATTTGTTTGTTTATTTAGAGACAGGGTCTCACTCTGTCTCCCAGACTGGAGTGACAGACCTCCCAGGGCTCAAGTGATCCTCTCACCTCAGCCTCCTGGGTAGCTGGAACCACAGGCACACCCCACCATGCCTGACTAATTTTTGTATTTTTTGTAGAGATGGGGTCTCACCATGTTGCCCAGGCTGGTCTCAAGCTTTCTGGGCTCAGGCAGTCCCCTGCCTTGGCCTTCCAAAGTGCTGCAATATGCCACCGTGCCCTGCCAAAACGTAGGTGTTTTTGCATTAATTTGTTTGGGAATTTGTCATACGCCACCTGTCCTTTTTGAACTTTTTCTTTCAGCCTCTTCTCTTATGAAATAAATTCTATTTTCTGTAGTTACTGCATCAGTGTGATAGGAAATCCTGTTAAACAGATTCTTATTGGGCTGGTTTTTCTTATTCTCATTACCAGAGGAAAACAATCATTTCTATGATCTGTTCTGTCATACAGTCTTACTTCTGACAGCATCTTCATTCTGAGCTCAGTAAACACATCTCTTGCTCTTAAACCAATTCTATTCGTCTCTTTGCTAAAAAGTAACCTTTTTCATTTCTTTTTTGTAGAAAGTACATTTGTATATATGGCTGTGTACCTTATTTGTTTACATAGAACTATATTATTTAAGAATAAAAACAAATACTCTTCCTTCACATATTAACAGACTAATATCAGTCAACTTATATTAGAACTGTCGTTTACTTATACGTGTGGCTCCTCTTCTTGGTAAGGGAATTGCTTTTCCCTGCCTCTTGAAGATACATATGGCCATGTCAGATACTCTGGCCAGTGACATGTTAACAGGAGTGAGAACCACTCATGATTCTCTGTGTCTCCTTACTCCTGCTACCACGACCTGCACCCCTGAGTAAGGATGATTATGGGGCTTATTAGCCCCTGCTGGCAAGAGATAGACTTGAAGTGTGTCCAAGAAACGACTTTTGTTGTTTTAATCCACTGACACCTCAGGATTATTTACTTCTAATTTAACCTATGTTAACTAATACTTGGTTTCTCAGAAATTGAATGAGAGGCTTTTACAGATTTAGTTTTTCAGTCTTCTTGTTCTTTTGCCTAAATATCATCTCCACGTGAACTCCTGCATATTCACATTCTCATGCTCATTACTTTGTTTTTAAATTTGTGATGAAATTCACATGATGTAAAATTTACCATCCTAATCATTTTCAAGTAAATAGTTCAGTGGTATTAAGTATATTCACACTGTACGGAAGCCACCATCCACCTTCAGAACTATTTTATCTTCCCAAACTAAAACTCTGTGGCTATGAAACAGTAACTGCATTCTCCCCAGTCGCTGGCAACCACCATTCTGTTTTCTATCTATGAATTTGCCTACTCTAGGTACCTCATATAAGTGGAATTACACAGTATTTGTCCTTTTGTGACCAGCCTATTTCACTCAGCATGATGTTCTCAGGGTTCATCAGTGTCGTAGCGTATGTCAGAATGTGTTTACTTTCTAAGGGTCAATGATACTCCATTCTGTGTGTGTGTGAGTGTGTGTGTGTGTATACACACACTACATTTTATTCATCAGTCAGTGATATTCCATTCTGTGTGTGCGAGTGTGTGTGTGTGTGTACACACACTACATTTTATTCATCTGTCAATGACATTCCATTGTGTGTGTGCGAGTGTGTGTACACACACTACATTTTATTCATCTGTCAGTGATATTCCATTCTGTGTGTGTGCATGAGTGTGTGTGTGTATACACACTACATTTTATTCATCTGTCAGTGGACACTTGGTTTGCCTCTGCCTTTAGCTGTTGTCAGTCATGTCATTGTCAACATAGGTGTATAACTCTTTGAGACCCTGCTTTCAATTCTTTGGGGTGTATACCTAGAAGTGGAATTGCTGGGTTATATGGTAATTCTATTTGTAATTTCTGAGGGACCATTATACTGTTTTCCATAGAGGCTGTACCATTTTATGTGCTTATCAATAAGGGTTCCAGTTTCTGTGCATCTTCTCATTACTTTTAAAAATACATCCTTTCTGTCTTTACTTTAGATAAATATAAGTACAAACAATTTGGAAGCTAAGTAGTCTTTCGAAATAGTAGTTATACATTTTCAAAAGTACTCTTAAAAGGCCTACTTTTCTATAAAAATCTAGAACCAATGAGCAACTTATGAATTCTTATGTATGAAGTTAAATGAACACAAAATTTTATTTTTTGTCACCTTGGTTTTGCTTATATAATATCATCTCTCTCAGGCCTCTGTTACTACTCTTTGAATTTTTTTCTCTTTCAACTTTACATTTTGGCCATTGCATCATTTTTCCCCCCACTAACTGCATAATTTTGAATATGTTTAACTTGTTTTTATACTCAGTATCAGTCATTTCCCCCAAACTACATAATTAAAATTTATGAAATATTTCAGACATACAAAATGACATATATAAAATATCTTTTTCAGTTTTAAAGCATCATGTTCACTTTTAAGATGCATTTCAGATATGTTAAGGAATTATTGGTTGATTGTCTTTGTAAGAAATACAAAGTCCCCATGCATGGAAAAATACAACTTCTATAATTTTGTACTACATACTTAAATCTGTATTTTGGACATGCAGTTTTTCTATACAAAGGAATGGAATAGATGTGGTTAAAAGTAAACATAATGCAAAGTGAAAGAAGACAGACACAAAAGACTACATATTATATGATTCCACTTATATGTAACATCCAGAAAAGCAAATTTACAGAAAGTAGATCGGTTGTTGCCTGTAGCGGGGTGTGGAAGCAGGAAGGCACGAGAGGGCTTTTTGGGGGTGATGAAAGTGTTCTAAAACTAGATTGTGGTGATGGTTGCACAATTCTATATATTGTGCAAAAATCACCAAGTTGTATGCTTACAGTGGATAAATTTAGAGGAATATAAATTATACCTCAAAGAGTTAAAAGTTTAAAAGCCTAGAAGTACTTGACTTCCATTTGGAATAGATATCTTCAGAGTAGACACAAAACTGTACACTGCCCAAAAACTGCTTTGAAAATACCACCCTGAAAGGCTGCACTTGCTGTCAGTGACCTGCTTCCCTTTCCACACAACTTAAGCAACACTGTATGTGTGTTTTTGTTATAGCTTTTTCCAACAACTGATCCTGTGGGTACTTTGCTCCAAGTTCCAGAGCAGATCTCAGCTCATCTACCTCAGCCAGCTGGGCAGATGCCTACACAGCCAACTCAAGTCTCTGTCCCACCCACCGCAGAGCCAGCAAAACCAGCACAGGTAAAGCCGGGGATATGCTTTAATGGTCATTCTTTTGGGTAGCTAAAAAGAGCAGATATTAGTGTGGAACACAAACTAATGTAGTCAGGTTAATGTCTTGGTAGATTTTGAAACAAGTTAGAAATTGTCTTCACATTTTTAAGCATATACAGGAAAGATAATTTTATAAGGATCGCATGCAGGTTTTTAAGCAACAGAGTAAGTTAATGATGGAAATATTCCAAACATCTAAAATGTGGGACTAATTTCTTGTCAGCTTTGTATCAGATAATTATTACATTTACTGTTTCAGAATGCAGCTCGTGGAGTTCAACAGAGACTAGGAGAATTGGATGGCTGTACTGTTTTTGTTGTTGTTCACTCAGGCTTATGTTTTTTATTAATACTCTTTGCTATCCATGGCTTTTCTCTTTTTAAGTTATTTGTCAATTTTGTGAGGGTTGATTTTGTTAAGTCTACATATTATAATCTGTAAACTCATTTTTCAGGTGCGTAGAAACTTTATTAAATTATACTCCTTTGAGAGCAGCCAAGTGAATGAAGGCCCCATAGTGAGCTACTGCATGCTGTGTAACTCCTATGCTCCCGTTAAGAAACCTCAGATACTGCATGCAACATGTGGCCTTACGCTACATGGTTAAAGTAAGACTTTGAGTGTCTGTTCATTTATTAAATATTAGAAGTTCCATTTTTTTGTCTAACATTTTAGATGAAAAGAAATAGAAATTAAAGGTCTGTTTTTTTTACAGTACATGGTTACATGTACATGGTTAAAGTACATGTACTTTACACTACTTGGCTAAAGTAAGACTTTGTCCATTCATTTATTAAATATTAGAAATTTCATTTTTTTGTCTAACGTTTTAGATGAAAAGAAATAGAAATTAAAGGTCTGATTTTTTTTTTCTTTTGCACCCCAGTAGATCATCTTGTGTTCTGCCTTTGGAGATCACTGCTTTGAGCATTTCCAATTAGTCGTGGCACTTACTTCACTTAACTTTTTCATCCCTCAAGCTTTCCATTTTTGCCCCGCATGTGGGAAAAGATACAGTTGTCTTAAGAAAACTGATGGGAAAATTAGATTCATTTTATAAACAACTTAAATCGAATGCATGTCCTCTCATAAGCAAGTGATAGCTATACAATTTTCAGAGAGGATTAGTTTAGCCATAAAAAGATTGGAACCTATGTATGGGTTGGACGGGATTCCTGAAGGGCAGCTGGTTCAGGCTCCACCTTTTGTATTGCCATATGGCGCTCTGGCAGATTTTTTAAAAATGAGAAACCTAGCTTTGTGTTTTTCACTCTTGTAGCAGGGAACAGGGGTCTCAGAAATATAAAATGTAAATGCTTTTGTTGCTGTCTTGGAGTGCATGTCCTCCTCCAGCAGGGAATGTCCTTAGGACCAGTATGACCTCAGCTAGAGATGAAGAAAATTGCTGCCAACTAGATGATTCCTCTGCCAGTGATCATTAGTCACTTCCCCACTTCATGTTTCAGGCAATGACTTGATACCTTTGAATGCTTTTTAGGCTTTGTCTTCAGGATCAGGTTCACAAGAAACCAAGATCCCAATCAGTCTAGTACTAAGATTAAGGTAAGTAGACATTATGTTTTGTTTTGTTTTCTGAATACTCTGCATGTGCTGTAATAGTCTGTGCCTGAGAGTAACTGGATGGAAATGGATTATATGTCCTCCAGCATCAAGCTCTGTCTGCTTGGTGGTGTATTATTTTTCTCAGAAATGATAGCAACAGTGTGAGGACCAGGATGTTAGCCGGTGTTATGACTAACTGATGCATGTGTTTCTTTGTTGATTCTATGCTAATTCGGGATGAGTTTGTGCATTTGCAGTGTAGCTAGTTTGGTTAGGAAGTATGGTCTGTAATTGAGGAACGGTTTTTAGGGAAGCAGCACTAACAGGCTTATCTGAACATCAGTCCTATAATTGTGACCATATAAGCACCGTGGACTGTGAGATCAACTAACCCAAGAAGGGAAGGACTTTTTTTTTTTTTTTTTTTGAGACGGAGTCTCACAGTGTTGCCCTGGCTGGAGTGCAGTGGTGCAATCTTGGCTCACTGCAGCCTCCACCTCCCAAGTTCATGTGATTCTCCAGCCTCAGCCTCCCGAGTAGCTGGAATTACAGGCACATACCATCACACCCGGCTAATTTTTTGTATTTTTAGTTGAGACCAGGTTTCACTATGTTGGCCAGACTGGTCTCGGAACTCCTGACATCGTGATCTGCCCACTTCTGCCTCCCAAAGTGCTGGGATTACAGGCGTGAGCCACCACGTCTGGCCCTGGGGAGGACTTTTTTATTGTGACAGATCAAAAAATGCCTTGTTTTTAGAAGATTAAAAGGAAACCTCTAAATATTTTTGTACTCTGTTTCTGTTTTGCAGCAAGTACCCTAAATTGGTAGTTCTTGGTGGGAACATATAGAGAGGGCCTGACAGATTGCTCAACAGGAAGCGCTATAGGTAGCAATCTGTTCATTTAAACTCCCCCACCCCTCACCACCAGTAGTTGGATTCAAATTCCAGAGCTTTTTGTCAGGATAGCTATGGCTGTTGTATTGCTCTAGTTAGGTCTCTTTCTACTCATAAATGCATTTGAAAAAAAAATTAATAATAAAGTGTCACTTGAGACAACTCAGACCTTTTAAAATACGAACATTTAAAAAAAGAGTTCCACTGAATTGCCGTTAACTCATTACCCTTGCACGTATGAATTCCTAGTCATCTTTCGGTAAGGTCATAATTGGAAATATAGGCAGCAAGAGCTCTTTGGAGAATGTGGTAAGGAGAATATCATTGCTCCTTGCCACTAGGAGCAATGCATTTATGCCACAAATGTGAACAAAGCAGATTTGGTTACCTTTCCTTTACAGAAGCTGACTCAGTATACCTGGTCTCAGCTCACATAATTCTGAATTACTAGGATGTCTTGACAACCTCATGTGTTTTAGTTCTACATAAAGAGTACCACTTGTCTCTTTAAGATTATTGTGACATCTTAATAGACAGTACAAAAATTCCATTTGTAAAATAAAAGACAAAATTCTCTGTGACAAGGTGGAGAAGATACTTGTAAGTGATGTGTACTTAGCTTTTTTGAGAGTAGTTGTAAAGATTGTTATTGAAGTAGGAGGCTGGATTCTTACTCTTATTGGTAAAGACTCTGAAGTTAAATGGCCAGAAATGATGATAAGAAATACATTTAATCTAATTTACCTTGTTTTTATCTCTGAAGATACTGTGCCTGGCGTGCCAGTTAAATCACTAAACTTATGCTGAACATTTCAATCTGAATTTTATTGCACTTTCAGAAAGAACAGATTGAATAATTATGTATTAAGCACAGACTATGTATAGCACTCTTCAGTACTGTGGAAAGATGGATACCTAGAAAAGAGAAAATTACATGACTCCCTTGATAATCAAGTCTAGGTTGGAAGTTGATTTGAACTGTACTAACACAGCTAAAGCAAATTTCAGGTAGTGTATACGTGCAGAGTATAAGTTTATATGTGTCTGTGTAGAGAGAATGCAGTGCAAGGGAGAATCATTCAGGGCAGCTAATATTTGAGATGGGTAGTTCTGTTTTAAGCACAATTTCAGTAACACCCTCAAGTATATTATTCATCAAATAGAAGTAAACTCTCTCCATTGTTTATATAAAATAGATCTGAGTCCTAAGTGAGCAGGCATATCTGCCCTTAGATATAATGTTCTAATTTCTATCTTTAACCGTAACCTCCAGGGATCCTGCTTAATCTCAGTACATGGTGGGGTCATCACTGTAACTGTACCTCACCAGTCATGTTTGAATTTCTGGAGTCATGTATTAACTCTGCTACCAGTATGGACCCAATTCCTTTCCCTATTTTCTCTGCCTACCCAAATCCTACCTGTTCATTAAGTCCTATTTAAAAACTACCTCTAAAATTTTTCCTTGTTATCCCCCTCTCTTGTGTATTCTTTGAATTCTTATGGAATTTGAGGGAGTATCATGTATTTCATCTTATGAGTCTGCCGAGACTGATCACCAGTGGTAGGCCGCGGATTGTGAGCATGTGGGAGTGGGGATTAGGATGAAAAAGGCAGCCTGTATCATTTTAATCGCACCTCCCTTTGCTCATACAGATTTTCCTCTTAATTTTATATGTCCTTAGTAGGAATAAGGATGGGAATGGGCCTCTAAGAATCTTCTCAAAGGCATGAAGTTTTTATATTGATCACTAAGAGACATAGAGTCAAAGGGTTGTAGGACAAGTAGATGGTCATTCTGAATTGGTTTTGCTCTGAGCTCTGCAGTGTGGACATACCTGAATAAATCATATGATCTATGGGAACAGAGCAGTCTTTGTTGAGGCACAGCTTTCTTAATATATGTTGGTAGAATCTCTTTGATTAAATTTAGAAATTCTCATTTTATGCATTCTGCTTACTTTCATAGGAATTCCAAAAAAGAACTAAATGATATTCGATTTGAATTCACTCCTGGAAGAGGTGAGGCATCAAACCGATTGAAAACAAAATCACTTCTGATTTGTGATTTGATGAAATGTGTTGTGAAGTTTCTGTCCTTTGTGCAATTTTGCTTTTAAAGGATAATAAAATTTTTCCTGGTTTTGGGAGTATATGAGTAAGATAAAAATGCAGTTCATTGACTACTAAACACATTTAGAAAACCTTGTATAGGAATACAGACAGTAATAAATACATAACAGCTCTTCACAGCTTGCTATAGGCCAGACATTGTTTTAAGTGTTGTCTCATTAAATTCTCACAGCAGCCTACTAAAGAAAAATTACTATCCTCATATTATTGATGATGAAATCAAGGCTTAGAGAGACAAAGTAACTTGTTCAAGGTCACATAGCTGGAAAGGGGTATAGGCAGAATTCAAACCGGGTCTGTCAGAGTCCAAAGTTCTCGCTTTATATGTAGTTGTCCTCCAGGATTGTAAAGGAAGAAGGCCTGCAATCTCCTCTCTCTGACAGAAGCTGAGCCCTGTCATGTACTGTTTCTGGCCATTGAACTTCACCTTGAACACAGCGTGTTTTCTTTCTTGCCTTTATTACTCAGTGTTCTAATTTGGGGAGTAGCCAGCAAATATCTGTTCTGTGTATCATGGTTATTCTTCTTGCTGTCTCACTATCATGAGCAGCTAACCACGGAAAGAACAGATGCAGGTGTACAAAGGTGTATCTGTTTTACTTTTAAAAATTTACTTTAAAAGGTGTATCTGGCCTGTAATCCCAGCACTTTGGGAGGCCGAGGCGGGGGGATCACGAGGTCAAGAGATCGAGACCATCCTGGTCAACATGGTGAAACCCCATCTCTACTAAAAAATACAAAAAATTAGCTGGGCATGGTGGCATGTGCCTGTAATCCCAGCTACTCAGGAGGCTGAGGCAGGAGAATTGCCTGAACCCAGGAGGCGGAGGTTGCGGTGAGCCGAGATCACACCATTGCACTCCAGCCTGGGTAACAAGAGCAAAACTCCATCTCAAAAAAAAAAAAAAAAAAAAAAAATGGTGTATCTGTTTTACTTTTTTAGAGCCAGGCAATGTCGCATTTTCAGGAATTAATTTAAATTGCTGGTCGTCTTTGTGAATGTATGGACACTCCCCAGCAGTCTTCCTGTTCCCTCTGAGGAGCTCAATGTCAAACCCTTAGGAATCAGTACCACTGAGTTGGTTGAAGATGAGGTTAATTGGGGATATTCTGTCCTCATCTTTTTAGTAGTTATACCCATTGCTCAGATTGTACTCCCTGGGATAGCTAGATATGAAGCAAAACTCACCAGAATGAAAAAGTAAATGATTTTAGCATAAAACTTGGAGTATGATTCCCGAAGAGAAGAGATTGCAATTTGTTGTCTCAATTTTTTGAGAATAAATCATTCTGGTTTTTTAGCCCCAGAGATGTTCCGTATTCAGCATCACACTGCAGAGCTCTGAGAGCTCAGTTCAGGATTGTACTCAAAAATAGGAATTTCCTCTGCATCGTCACTGTCAGTGTTCTTCTGACTGGGCCTGAACCCATCTAAATCACACCATTTAGAAAGTTGTCTTTACATTGAGCTCTGTAAACCAGATATTTGCCACCTGGTTTATACAGAGTCTGCCCTCTAGCTAGATCTGTGAGAATTCCTCACTTGAGACAATCCCAGTGGTAGGAAGTCTGTGTGTGGGAGGACTTCCTGCCTTTTTGGTTCTGTGGATTTAGCAGCTAGCTTGGGCTTAGCCAGGCAGTACTAGTACCCACACGGCTCTGGGAGTTAACAGTTTTAAGCATGCACAAAAAAACAGAGCACCTGTCTTCTTTGTCCTTGCAGATACAGCGGAGGGTGTCTCACAGGAACTCATTTCTGCTGGCCTGGTCGATGGAAGGGATTTAGTAATAGGTAACTGCCCATGTGCTCCTGTGTCACTGTCTATTTACTTAGTACATAGAAAAGCAGGTTTTTATTCCACTGAGTAGATCTGATGGTTTTTGAAATGGTTCTTGGCTTTGCTGAAATTATAGGTAATGGGGACAGTTTCTTACACGTATCACAAATTTCACATATGAGTTTGCTTTGTGACCTTCAATGATAGTAAGTGAAAGCACACCCAAGGTCTTTAGGAGACTAGTAGAAATTATGGCAAAGATCAGAAGTTAAAGTAGGCTTGGCCATATCTGATCCATTTTAGATACATAATTTTTGTGGCCCAAGTTGAGCAAAAATCATTAGAGATTTAGTCCTAGAAAGGCAGGAAGGAAGAAAGAAGGCCCAGCGAGGCCACAGGTCCATATTGCTGAAGGAGAGACCATGTCTGTAGACACAGATTTCCTGTGAAAGACCAAATAACAAATAGTTTAGGCCTTGCGGGCCAGGACAGAAACAGACCACAGGGCTCGCTTTTGATTTCTGTCCTTGGGCTTTCTGATCCATAAATAAGCAAATCATACCTCTTTTACCTGCATGTCTTTTTCCTAGGTTAATACAACATTTTAAAGAAAGTAAATTTGACAGTAGTTCAAGGTGTACTACTTAGAAATGAGTTTAAAAGACCCTTTCATTTGGGGAGTGATTGTTTTATCTGTCTGTTTCCATTTTGATTGTACAGAGCATATTCTTAACTACCATTTAAGCTTTTAAAATATGGTTGAAATTGGATTTATGTGACTTCTCATTCATCAAACACCCTCTCTGTTTGTATGATTACAGTGGCAGCTAATTTGCAGAAAATTGTGGAAGAACCTCAGTCAAATCGATCTGTCACTTTCAAACTGGTACTCATCTCTTCTTTTATGAAAACATCTTACCTTTTACACACTGGCAGCTTCTTCAGACCAGCTTCTCTATGCCCTGGTAGATTGTGTTCATTTAGCCTCCCCTGTGCCCTGGGCTGACGTTTCCCTTTGAGTGGTGACTCTTCCTCTCTCCATGTTAGGAAACCTCTGTCCCCAGACCCTTGGCTATTCATAAGAGAAACTATTAGCCAATCTGACTCTAGGTATTCACCCCGCCCTCTTTTCTGGAATTTCGTCAGTCTCCCGGTTGTATCCTAGGGATCTGTTGCTCAGTGCTTACTTCCCACTATTCCATGTCAGCTTTATTTGCTACCTGCAAGTGTGTTTATAAGTAATCACAGTTTCTCATTTTGTTTGGTTCTTAGGCATCTGGTGTCGAAGGCTCAGATATTCCTGATGATGGTAAACTAATAGGATTTGCCCAGCTCAGCATCAGCTAAACCACAGCCCTGGAAGAGGCGGCCCAAGGAGATTCCACACATGCGTATCTCTGTTGCTTCTGTTGGCCTGAACCCACTACTGCCAAAGAACCCAGCAACAAACCTCCCAGCTAGGAGCTTTAGAAGTCTTTCTTTATGTTCTTCCTGCCATCATTCCTCCTTTTCCCACAGGGAAAGTAAAGTTGGATCACCAGTGGCCAGCATCCCCAGAGTTCCGTTAGTAAACTTACTTCATATGTCCCCTGTCTTCCTCCATCTGAGAAGTGGCCCATGTGCTTCAAGGCCCAGGAGGGAGATCTGTCAGCTCATTCTTGCCTTACTCCAGTGATGGCCCAGGTGGAAAAGTAGCAGCTATATTGGGCTTCCTCATCCTGCCTGTTCTCCCACACCTGCCAGGATATGGACATCTTGGGATATCTCTTTACCACTGAAGTAGAATTCAAAGTTGATTGTTCAGCTGAAGCCCAGAGAATTTAATTTAGTGTTTTTTCTTTGTACCTGATGTGAATTCTAGCAACCTTTGTTAGGAAAAAGCACAGCCTCAGATGGAGGCAGCCTAAACTGTATTCTTGTTTTGTTCATGGTGTTTCTAAGCGTTTTGCTGAAGCTGCTCTCAGGCACCCCCTTCTTCATTGCTCTCTCCAGAAAGGGTTGCTAGCCTTAACTTCAGCTGGTGCAAAACATCTGACTGTAGCCGAACTTCAGCCACCGGATCCTTCAGAGTGGAACTTCGGATTGTTTTTACAGACAACATCAAGTAATGGCTTGTAAATGTGAAGCCAGAGGTGGTTTTTGAACAGGAAAATCATAATTCATATCATTGGAGAAGTATTTATTTTCAAATATTGAAGAAAAACTCAATCCTCCCATGAAAATCAGTTCGTCTGGCCTCCACATCATGAGGAAATGGGTATGCAAGGCTGAGATTTCTACAGCAATAAAGGAGACTCACACTGGGCCGGAGAGGCCTGCCTTCTGCCTGCCCTCCTGCACTGACCCTTTGGAGGAGGTCTCTGTGTGCTGAAGCTAACTTAAGATGGAAAGTGAAACCACATGTGCCGTGACCTTTAGGTTTTATGAGTAGACAGTGTTCATTTGATTTTCTACAGAAATAATATAAATTATTCTTTAGGTTTAAAAAAGAGCACTCATAATGCAATATGTGAATAATCAGTGAGGTTGATTTTTCTTTTTTCCTACTGTTTCATAGTCAGTCTCTGTCTAACTGCTAGTAACCCTACCGAGTTTTATATATGAGTGGGATACTCGATCTGGCCTTAAAAAGACACACAAAGATGGGCTGTGGGCCCCTGGGAAGGAGGGGAGTTGCCCTTTACAGAATCACTCAAGCCCTTTCCAGCATTGTTAGTCTGATGAACAAGGTTACCTTTTCTCTCAGAACGTATCTGAAAGCCTTCCCCACAAATCACTTGTCATACCTTTTGTTTCATTCTGAGCCTTTAGTTTTAGTCATGGGCTTTCTTCACCTGCCCTAGGTGCAAAGGCATGTTGGGAAAGAGATGGATGTTGGGGAGAAAGAGGGGGATGGATTTCGGGAGTTGGGAGGAGAGTAGGTAAGACCAGACACCCAAGTCCAAGGTCCCAACAGTCTTGGTAAAAGGAGGGAGCTTGCTGAGCCAGGAGGGAGAAAAGAAGATTGACCAGCTTGCTAGAAAATTATTTAGCTTTTCTTTTTCTTTTTTGTGGTGGTGGAGAGAAACAAGGATGGGGAGGTGGGAATGAGGTATAGAAAAGAGATAGCATCTTCTTTGGCACAAGACTAGTGGCTTATCTTAGAGTGTTTTTTTTTTTATTATTATTATTTTGGTTTCAAACAAACCCATCATAATCTACTTATTTATGAATCCAAGGGGGAGTAGTATCACTCTGTTCTAGCATTCTATGTGGAGATGGTCTGGTGCCCAGCTGAGAGTGAGCAGCAGCCCATCCCCCTGTTCACTTTCTCCAGCCCATCATTACCTGTGAACTGAAGTGGGGCAGGCCTGACAAGTAGAATTGGGCTGAGGTTTTCTCTCTGTTTTCAGTTCACTATTTGCCCTGCTAGGAATTAGGAGACAGACACCAAGTCCCAGGACAGTGTTAGTTCTTTTTCTGCATGATGTGTGGTAGACTCCCTTTGCTGGCTTGTGCAGTCATACTGAGAAGATATATGAACAGAAACTGCCCAGCTGGAACAGCACGTAACCTAGTGAGTGACGGTACTCCTCTCTGGCAATGCTGGTTCAGAGTGCACCTCTGTCACTAGGTCCCAGGATCCCCTTGTCCCTGGAATAGGGGCTAACTATAGCACAAAGTATTATGTGCCAATGCTATTTGTGGAATGTTGGGTCTTTCTAAATGACTAATGGATTTGTTAGGGTTTTTGCTTAAGTTTTGAACCAAATCCTAGAGCCAGCTGATAGTATTTAATAATCTGGAGGATAGAATAATGATGTACCAATAAGTGCAGATTCCTCCTTATGATGTATGCTAGGTTATGGAAGATGTAAAATATTCAACTTTTTCCTCCTTTTTTTTGACTTTGTATTTTACTGCATGTTTCCTTCCTTTTTAATCAATAAAGAGTACATTGCCCTTAGTGGTGTACGGATGCTTTATTTCAGTGGCCCCTGGCGTATAGCTGTGGGTTGTGGGTCGGGGAATCACCACCAACTTTAATTTTTCATACGAATAGAAGCCAAAGTACATATAAACTGTAAAGTGTATGTATTGATCTACAAATTATCTAGAACCGCTTAAAGCTATTATATAGTTTGGGAAACTGCAGCCCCTTTAAAGGGAGGGATGAGGTCAGCCCAAGGAATTTGATAGGGTGGGATATGGAACTCCTTTTATTGATCTTCTCTCAATCTTTGGTTTTCCCCATGCTGTTGGACAAGGACAGATGCCAGATTCAAGCCCTTGAGAGCCTCTTTGGAAAGCTCAGAACAGGGCTGAACTTAACCTGTTCTTGGCTTTGATACTGCAATGGTGGCATTATATGTAAGATTCTAGGGTCTTTTATATTCCTGTTACCCTCCCACTGCAGGAGTAATCTCATCATCTTTCCCAAGAGCAGTGGCTTTTGATCCATGATAACACTGTTTGTGGGTCCTGGTGTTTCAGAGCTCAGGGCTGTGGAACCTTGGATTTGTCAGTACTGTTTGGCCTACAGCTAGTTAAGTTTGCTTTAGTTAAGATAAGCAGGTTATAAAAGCGGAATCAGACTTTTGTGGCGATAGGAAGGAGGTGCTGGATCCTCCTAAGTGAGCATGGTATATCTGGAGGGAAGAGAAAGGGTCAAGAGTAAATTGAGCCTCTACTTGCTCATTCTTTCTGATGAGCTCAGGTCCTATCACTAGCTTGGTTCCTTAGCTTTACTTGTATAGCAGCAATCAATCAGTGCATCCACTCAGGGATTCCTCCTTCAGGTCAGGCAGTCTACACCAGGTGTTTTTTTCTTCTTCTTTAATGGACTTTAATTTTAGAGCAGTTTGTTTCACAATAAAATTGAGTAGCAAATACAAAGAGTTCCCACACACCTGACCCCACCCACGAACAGCCACCACTGCTGTCAACATCCCCCACCAGAGTGGTACGTTTGATACAATCAATGAGTGTACATTGACACATCATTATCACCCGAAGTCCATAGTTTACATCAAGGTTCACTCTTGGTGTTATACATTCTATGGGTTTTGACAATATGTAATGACATATATCCACCATTAGCATATCATACAGAATAGTTTCACTGGCCTAAACTTCTGTGTTACCTGTTCATCCTCCCTCCCCCACTAGCCTGTGGGAATCACTGATCTTTCTACTGTCTTTTCCCTTTTCCAAAGTGTCATATAGTTAGAATCAAACAGTATGTAGCCTTTTCAAATGTTCTTCTTTTAATAATATGCCTTTCAGTTTCTTCCATGATTTTTCATAGCCTGATAGTGCATTTCTTTTTAACATAGAATGATATTCCATCGTCTGCAGTTACCCATTCACCTGCTGAAGGACACCTTGATTGTTTACAAATTTTGGCAATTATGAATAAAGCTGCAGTAAACATCTATGCGCAGATAATTTGTGCAGACAGTTGAAAACAGCAACAGCTTATTTGGGTAAACTCCAAGGAACGCGATTACTAGATCGTGGATAAGGCTATGTTCTGTTGAGTAAGGAATGACCAAACCTCGTGGCTGTACCATTTTGTATTCCCACCAGCAGTGGATGCGAGTTCCCGTTACTCCATGTCTTTCACAGCATTTGGTGTTACTGGCATTTTGGATTTGGCCATTCTAATAGGTATGTAGAGATACCTCTTTTAATTTGCAACTTCCTAATGACACGATTTGCATGCTTTCATATGCTTTCTTCTCATATTTGCTATCTATATCTTCTTTGGTGAGGTATGTATTCAGGTCTTTTGCCCTCCCCACTTCCCTCAAATTTTAACTTTTTATTTTGAAATAATCTCAGACTTAAAAAAAAATGACAAAAACAGTACAAAGAATTCCCTTTTACCCATCCCCCAGCTTCCCCAAATTGTTTAGGGAAATTAAACAATTATCAAAATCAGGAAATTGACAATTAGTAATCAAAATCAGGAAATTACATATACAATCATCAAAACCAGGAAATTAACACTGATATTATATTATTGGCTCGTCTACAGGTGTTATGCCAAAGTTGTTAATTACCCTGCTACTGCTCTTTTTCTGGTCCCATGATTCAATTCAAAATCTCATGTTGTATTTAATTGTTATAATTCCTTAGACTCCTTCAATCTGGGATACCTCCTGGTCTGTCTTTGTTTCTCATGACCTTCACCCTTTTGAAAAATGATGGCTAGTTGTTTTGTAGAATGACTCAATTTGGATTTATCTGATATTTTCTCATGATTAAATTCCGGCTATGCGTTTAGAGAAAGAAAACCACTGAATTGATGTCAAACTCTTTTGAATGCATCATCAGGAAGCACACCATGTAAACATCTCATTAGTGGTTATGTTAACTGATTACTTGGTTAAGGTGTGTCTGCTGGCTTCCTCCACTCTAAAGTTACTATTTTTCTCTTATAATTAATTGATGTTTTGTGAGGAGGTAGTTCCAGATTATGTAAATTTTGTTACTCATCTTACTTTGCCCCAAAAATGTTAGCATTCTTTGATGAGTCTTGCCTAACACAATTATAACTGTGATATTCACTAAATATTTTTTCTTTTTTTTTTTTAAAATTTGTCCCAGATTCTGACTAAATGATGATTTCCTGTTTCCATCATTTCATCTTACATTTATTAGTTGGAATTCTGTGAGGAAGAGCTTTCCCTTTTCCCTCACTATGTGTGAGTTTGATGATTTACTTATGTAAGCATGACTTGCCAAACAGAATATATTATGCTTGTTAATTTTTGCTGAATGGATACAGGAGAAATGATATTCTGGTGTTGGTTTGAGTTATCTAATTATATGTGAGGTCGGAAAGTTAAAGGGCCAATTATAGGTAATAGACTTTTGCCCACTTTAAAATCAGGTTATTTTTCTTATTGAGTGTTAACAGTTATTTGTATAGTTAGCAATCTTTTATCTGATATGCCTTTTGCAAATATTTTTTCCCAATCTCTGACTTATCTTCTTGTTCTCTTAACAGTGTCTTTCACAGAGCAGATGTATTTAATTGTAATAAAGTCCAGCTTACCCATTATTTCTTTCATGAAGCACGTCTTTGGTGTTGTATCTAAAAAATCATTACTATGCCTGAGGTCATCAAGGTTTTCTCCTGTTACCTTCTAAGGATTTTATAGTTTTGCATTTTCTATTTAGGTCTGTGATTCATTTTGAGTTAATTTTTGTGAAGGGTGTAAGATTGTTTGAGGAGTCAGTTTTTTGCATGTGGATGTCCACTGTAATGGTGGACTCATCTGTTTCTCCTTCCACTTCTATCAGTTTTGCCTGGCATGTTTTGATGTTCTGTTTCTAGGTACATACACATTAAGGATTGTTACGTCTTCTTGCAAAATTCACTCCATTAAGTAATGTCCCTCTTTATCCCTGGCAACTTTACTTGGTCTGAGCTACTCGCACTATCTTTTGATTAGTGTTGCATGGTATATTTCTCTCTATTTATTTACTTTTAATCTGTATGTGTCTATATTGAAAGGGGGTTTCTTGTTGAAAACATATAGCTCGGTCTTGAGTTTTTTTGATCCACACGATATCTGCCTTTTTGTTGATGTGTTTATACCGATGGCATGTAAAGGGATCAACTATTGATATAGTTGGACGAACACACACTTGTTACAGTTTTCTATTTGTTGCCCTTGTTCTTCAAACCTATTTTTGTCTTCTACTGTTTTTCTGCTGTTTTTGTAGTTTTAATTGAGAATTTTATGTGATTTTGTCCTCTCCCATTTCTTAGCATACCAGTTATACTTCTTCTTATCTTTGTTTAGTAGTTGCCTGGAGTTTGCAATGTATATTTCTAACTAATTTAAGGCTCTTTTCAAATAACACTATACTGTTTCACAGGTAGTACCAATAGAAAATAATCCTGTTTCATCCCTCTCATCCTTTATATTATTGCTATCATTCATCTCAGTTACACATAAGCATATATCTATACGTGCAAAGATAACCTAACTTGCTGCTGTTTTGTTTTGTTTTTTTTTTGAGACGGAGTCTCGCTCTGCTGCCCAGGCTGGAGTGCAGTAGCACAATCTCAGCTCACTGCAACCTCCGCCTCCCAGGTTCAAGCGATTCTCCTGCCTCAGCCTCCCAAGTAGCTGGGACTCCAGGCATGTGCCACCATGCATGGTGAATTTTTTGTATTTTTAGTAGAGATGGAGTTTCACCGTGTTAGCCAGCATAGTCTCGATATCCTGATCTCATGACCCACCCTCCTCAGCCTCCCAAAGTGCTGGAATTACAGGCAAGAGAGAGCCATTGTGGCCAGCCACTGCTGTTATTTTGAAGAAAATGTTTTAGGTCAATTATGGTTAAGTAAAATAAACATTTGTGTTTTACCTTCGCTTATTTCTTCTCTGATGTGTTTCATTTCTTAGGTACTTCTGAGTTTCTGACCTATATAATTTTCCTACTCTCTGAAGAACTTTTAAGGCTTCTTGCAAGGCAGGTCTACTTGTAACAAATTCCCCCAGTTTTTGTTTGCCTGAGAAAGCCTCTATTTCTCTACCACTTTGGGGGATAATTACACAGGATACAGGATTCTAAGTTGGTGGGGCTTTTTTCTCTGAGCACTTGAAATATTTCACTCTACTTTCTTCTTGCTTATGTGGCTTCTGAGGAGAAGCTGATGTCATTGTTACCTTCACTCCCCTACAGGTAAGATGTGTTTTTTTTCCCTCTGCCTCTTTCAGAATTTGTCTTTATCTTTTATTTTCCGTAGTTTGAAAATGATATGCCTAGATGGACTTCTTTGGCATTTCTTCCACTTGGTGTTCTCTGAGCTTCCTGGGTCTGTGGTTTGGTGCCCAACATTAATTTGGGGAAATCCTCAGTCATTATTATTTCAAATATTTCTTTTGTTCCTTTTTCTTTCTTCTCCTAGAATTCCCATTACACGTTATACCTTTCATAGGTTTT